TTCATTTATAAGAGAATTTAATATTATACAAAATGTTACCTATTTAGAAATCTCAACAATTAACATAAATCAGTCGGAACAACAAATTTTATGGTATGGATATCCATCAACATTTGTTGCACAACGACTTGATCAGCAATGTCCGAGTGTATCATTAGTAAGAGATGAAGATCCAACATTACAATTTTTTCGAGATAGACCTATCGAAGCACTACGGGTTGTACCTGTTACAAGTAAGTTTTCGACAACATTTCACTTTAATTCAATAAAACATCATAGTCATTATGTCCGAGTCAAGCTATTTAGAGATACAATTTCAAATAAAACTTTTGTTCGAATATAAACAAAATGATATATATTGGACATCTATGAGTGAGACTACGAAAAGTTTTAGAAGAGTTTTGATTGAATATGTTCTATATTGGCAATTTCGTTTTTCTCTTTAAGTTTCAATGAAAATGAATATAGATTTCTTGGGATATTTCATATTCAAATATTGTTTCCTTTTCTGCATCGCGCAGGTCTTATTTGTGTTTATTCAATAGCTCAAGTAAGACCTATTTATTTTTGATGAAACTTGCAAATCTATCAAATGATTCTACAGATAAAAAATTTAAAATCGAAACTAGTTTGTTACATATATTAAACTGAAAATTAGGCCTACGAAAAAAATAATAAGTTTCAAAACTATTTAAACTCGAGTTTCAAGTAATCAATGTTAGTTTACGTATTTTATTTATGAAGACAAAGTTCGGAATGAAAGATTTTTTGGTGCTTCAATAGTTTACTTGAAAAGAAACTTGCAAGTTTTATCTTCAGAAATAATTCATAAATAGAATGATTCTTTCTAGAATCAAATTTGTTTTTAAATTGATTTATTAAGTTTTTTTAGATGCACGAAAAAGTATGTAACTACGAAGGTATATCAAGTAGTTTCAATATAGAATTTTCTTCTCCGAAAAACAGCTGAAAGTTTTTTTCTACCAGGAAATCATTTATAAAGATTAAAGTTAATTAATTAAGAAAAACATTTCAACTAAATGACTATCAGAGAAAAGTTTCTCGTTGAATATTCGTCAAGCATTCTAAGACACTCACTGATTAAGTTATTTTCATTGATATCCATCAATTGCGATAAATTTGACGTCTCTTATGTTTATATTCGAGTACTTCTTTTAATCTGTTTTTTCACTAAACATACAGTTTTATTTGCAAAACACATCGATGTTTGTTTTTACTATTTAGATTCATCATCAGTCAGCGAACTTCTACTCGTATTTCGTGAATTAGGAATTTATGTTAGTTGTGCAACAGGAATGCGAACACGCCATAAAGAATTAATGTGGACAGCATTACCATTATCAACTTCCTTTTCTGATCCATATTTACTTATCTATACTGAAAAATCAGTTGATATTTATGATGTTCCGTCAGCAACATGGCTACAATCATTACCTTTATGTAGAACGCGTTCGTTAACACCTGATGGTTGTATTTGTTTATCTCATGATCCTGAACTTCTTAATCATCATTCAAAATTACTTTATTTAATGCAAAAAACTAATTCGAATCCATCACTCAATGTTCCTGAACGTGCATCATCAAAAAGTTTAGCAGCTCGCGGAGGAAGATTTCGCGTCGGTGGAAGCGTTGTTGGCACAATTAAATCAACCACATCATCATCAATAGCACCTATATCGGGACCAAAAGATTTTACTCATATATCACATTTAGGTAAAGGTGAAGGTTTGCAAATTATATCAGGTTTAAAACAAGTTAGTCCAACAAGCACCCTTTCATCAATAAATCATAGTAGTAGTGGTTCCACATTAAATAATAATAATCGACGTTCACTCATATCTGGTCCACAAAATTTTGTTCATTTAACGTATGTTTAGCTGTTTCTATTTTCAATAAATAATGTATTTTCTTTTTTTAATAGACATATTGGTCCATCGGATATTTCAACATTTGCATCCGATTTATCGACAACAAATACAACAACAAATAGAGCTGTTATATCAGCACCCATGAATTTTCGTCATCAAGTACACATTGGACATAATGATGAAATTGATCAATTACATAATAATAATAATAATAATAATAATAATAATAAAGGCGGCACGTATGAACAACAAACGAACAGTGTCTTGCTCAAGCAACAACAAGTGACTAGTAGTGGTAATTCAACATTATCATCTCAATCTCTTTCATTTAAAGACGAAGATGATAGCGATCAACCTCTTGAATGATGATCTTCTATCGAGAATGAAAGACAAGAGGATTGCTATGTGTTTTTGTCTCTTGTCGGTCAGATTCATTCAAAGCGAACTAATGAAAACTTGTCTTCTGCTCGTTTTTTTTGTATTATCTTATTTGGCGTGCAATTTTTACTTTCTTTTTTGCTGTGTGGTGACCCATTTTTGGTGCCTTTTTCTATTTCTCTGTGCACACATATAAAATTGAATTTTTTTCCGTTGCACCTGTAATCATCATAATTACTATTATTACTATTATTCTTATTCTTACTGGATCTGTACTGAGTGCATGAACGAGTGTATGAAAAAAGTCAGTGTTGACTTTTTTTGTTCTTTCTTTTTTCAAGCAATTATCTTTCTGCTATACGTATATGCGCTTACTGTCGATTCAATCATTAATGCAGAATGTACAGACATTTAAAATTTATATAGTTTCATTAAAATTTGAAAATCATCGAAATTGTCAATATTTAGCCGAGAAATAGAACGATGTTTTGAAAATGTCATTGCTAATTAATCAGTAGAAGATCATCGATAGAAATGCCAAGAATGAAAGCATGTTGATAATATCAAATTTTGTGATTAATGGATAAATGTCAAGGTCGATTAGTGGAGTTTTGATAGAAAATCGTATTGTCAAGAGAACGATCGCTAGTGACAGACTTGTTTTGGACCAAAAGCAAATAAGAAATTTTTGTTATACATTTCATTTATTGAACGAAATCCATGATAATTTTTGAAATATATGTCAAGTTACGACATTTGATATTCTAGAAAACATGCTATTGTTTCGATGTAGGTCATTAGATATATTTTGGCTTTAAAAGAAAAGGATGATTTTAATAATTCGAAAGCTATTTATGAAGAGCTGTTTGATAATAAGAGTAGGAAGAGAATTTTTTTGATAAATAATATTTGAAAATAATATTCAAATACATCAACATTGATTTTACTTTTAGTATCAATGATTCATTCTTTCCGAATAAAAAATTATCTTCTTGGTAGAAAAGTCGACATTCCTTCTGTTTTGATTTAAGTTTGAAAAATTAGATCATTCATAAAAAATAAAGAATGCCTTCAACTATGGAAAAAATGTGTTTCGAGCACCGAAAAATGGTGAAAAGAGCACCAAAAAAGGGTGAAATGAGCAACAACTAAAACTGAACAGTACAATATATATCAATTAAATTTTAAACGAATTAAGATTGTAGTTAATAGGTATTTTGCTATTAAATTATGATTGGCTCTACTCATTGATCAATTCAATGACAACTTTTAAGAGTATTTGTGAACGATCCAACAGCTTCAATACCAACTAATCAATTATCGGATTTAATTAACTACGCTCGACGAAAAAATAATCACGAAATATTTTTGGTTTATGATTTTGATCATTGGTCTATTAATCATAAATATGATGAAAACTCAATTCATTCGCCATTTGTACCTTATTACTATATTAATGATATCAACGATATTTTTGTATTGTTTACAACGAAGCAATTATTAAAAGATACACAATTTACATCATTATTACAAGTCGAAAAAAGTTCCAACTGCTCTGTTATCATAAGTTTCTTTTTGTAATAATCATGTCTCCATAATATTTATTTATTTGTTACTATTTTTGTGTTCTTCATATTGTTTTGTCAGATGGCATTACTTCTTATTTCGCATAGATAATTTCGGTGCTCATTTCACCTTTCCTTCGGTGCTTAAAACACTCCCCACCCTCAACTATTTCTATCTAAGAAAACAGCGAATCAAACGACTTAAAAAATATTCTTCATTTTACTTTTTCTGTCTAAGCAGATTATCTATGCGGAATTAGTTTTCTTAGCGAGGTGTGTAATAAGTTGAAGAAAAAGTGCTATACACCTCGCTAACTTACCGAAGATATGCGGCAGTGGCTCAAATACGAACGCTTTGTTTTTCTTGTTTCTATTCTAGAGAGACATCCGAATAGAAATGGATTGAAGCATTTTCGCTTGGAAAACAATTGTGTTTGTTTGAATTGAGTATGAAATAAAAGTTTGTTGTTTATATTTTTCCTTTTGATTGGTCTATTAGATTAATATCTTTAGGTGATGCAAATGTTTAAATTTTGCAGGTATCTAAAAATCGTCTGTATTTCTTTGATATCATCATAAACTAATAAAATATGTCTATTAATTACTCTATTGATCTGTTGCTGTTGAATCGTCTGCCAATAAAATTTTGATTCAATTAGATTGTACTAAATGGTAATCGGAACAACACAATAAAATATTTCGTTGAAATGAGACGATAACCTGTTATTTTTCAAAATAATAAAATAAATAGTATTGTGGATAAGTTTATCTAATATCGAACTTTTTAATTGTAAATCTATGGAATAGTGTTGAATTTCAACAAGTGGTATATACGTATATACACATTCTTATGAGAATAGAAATTCATTGAAGAGTGTATCTTATGATTAAAAATCAAGACAACAGAAATTTATTATATTCTATTGAGTAGCAATTTGATCGAGTGTATATGTTTGAAAAAGTTATTTTCGTAAAAAGCTTGATTTCATATTTTATTCTACTCGAAATATGAACAAAAAAATTAACTTAATTAGTTGAGCGCAATATGAGAAGTTACTTCATTCTATCTAACGAATCAAATGAAATGTAAATAATATTGAAAATATAACCTTTATTTAACTTAGAAAAATGTTAATTTTATAAATATAAAGTGAATAATTATTTCAAATTATAAATCAATCGTTTCTGTTAATAATGGTATTGTAGTTGATTCACGATTTGACTGTTGCTGTCCAAGACCAGTCGTATTGCATGGTGAGTCACATGATCTAATATGCGTTGAAGAATAAATTGGCGTTGACTGATTTAATGATAATGTTGTTTCAGAATTGACTGATAAAATATTTTTTATATTATTATCTGTATCTATTTTCAGTTGTTGAATGTTATCATTGGGTCTTGTTTTTGCGTTATTAGATGTACTATGAAAATATCTTTCAGGTTTTTTTGCTGTTTGTTGTAATAATTGTTCATTTGTTATTTTTCTACAGCAATAAATATTTAAACATTCAGTACGAAATAATTGTCCGAATACACAAAATGGTAGAAAATTTGTCGCCGCATTTATAATAGCAATCAAATTTGCTATACTATGAAAACGTCGTATACTTGAACTTGATGAGGAATCAAAAAATATCTTGATTGTTAATTCAAACGACCATAAAAACCAGAGAACAATTGTTGGGCTTCGACATATAAGTAGTGTTAGTACCATAGCAATTACAATAATTGTCACAGAATATTTCGATTGAAAAGAACAATGCTGACCATGATTATTTGTTCTTTCATTTTTATGATGCGTTTCTTTTAAACGTTTTGTACGAGATTTCACACGATGTAAAGCACGAATTAATTGTAAATTAAAACAAACGATTGTTATTGTTGGCAGTGTATAAACAAATATGGCATTAAAAAACATATAAGCCCATCGATAAAGTCTGCGTCTAGCTAAATCACTATAACCTTTCGTAACAAGCATGCTTTTTCTATGGAAATTGTCATCTAATATTGATAAGGAATCATTATTAAGATGAATCATTTGGTAAACACTCGGCATTTGAACAACTTCATATTCAAAAAACAATGGAATTGAATAAAGGAATGCCATCATAAATAGTATTCGTGAAACAACTTTGGCTCGATGTAATGTACAAAATGATTTACCATAGATTGGATAACAGATTAATATCCAACGATCCATTGTTACTGCTGTTGATATCCATAGTGATAATGCACGACTGCCAGCAGCTAATCCACCAAAAATAATATCAACATATCGAAGAAATATTGTTATTGATGTACTTCGACCACGTTCCACAATATATTCAAGGATATATGTGATTGCAATCGATAAACAAGTGATCATATCTGATAGAGATAAGCCAGTTAAGTAAATAAATGTTGATAATTGAGCACTTAAGCGATGTAAAACAATAACCGACATTAAATTACTTATGGAACCAAAGATCGCAAATGTCAAACTTGTAGTTGATATCAAATAAGAAACAGAATCTGATGGCGAATTATTTATGTTATGCCAAAGATTATCGATTTCATCCTGAGCAAAAGTTAAATTGTCCGATGTAGATAAATTACTCATCTAAAATTCAAGCATTTTTCATAGTTTCGTATTTTTTGATTATTAAACACTAGCTATGTATGGAACAAATAATGCATAAAAATTATAATATTGTATTGTTGAGAGTAGCATTTTCTTTTCATCATAATGAATATGTTACCACTAAAGATAGTTGTAAACAATTTTATTTTATTTCACTTCTACTAAAATATTTGTTCTAAGGTCTGCTCTTGTCTAGCTATTGTTTGGTTTTATAAATTAAGAGAACATCGAAACTAGTCGAAGTGATAATCAGACTAATGTATGGAAGCTAAATTTGAAATTGTAATGTTGACACACAAAAAAAATTAGCACAACTTTACATTCATGACTTTTATGTTGCCTTCAATTCTAAAGATATTAGTTGCCTTGATGTTTAGCAGGAAAAAAAAGAAAAAGATAGTATTGTTTGTATTCGCTTTATTATGTTGCTCCCTTTAATTATACGCGCAAGTATAAACAACCTTATTTGTCATTGATAAACAGAAAAGACACCTACTTATTCTTATCGAAACGGGTTTTTCTTTTCTGAATAGAATGTTAAAACTTAATCCTATAGAAAAAAAACGCGGCTGCGACATTAATTTGAAGGCGAGGTCATTTTATATAAAACCATTGTAAATTCTTTTTACTATGAAAAGAAAATTTCAAGAAGTTGACGCTAACAAAGAATTATTGGGTGATGTACAAGAAATCGGTACCTTTTTTTCTTCTGAGTATTTTTTAAAGAGCATCAAATCGTTTGTTTTTCAACCTTAGTATGCAAATTATGTAACGTGCAATTTTCGACAAAATGACGTAACAAATAATGGACTTGAAATTAAAGAAGAATAAATAGAAGATACATGCCTGTCAAGATTAATTTTGATGCACTTTTTCAGGCTTTTGTTTTTCTCAGAATACTTAAATTACTTGGAATGGTCGTATGAATTTTAAAAAAAAGCACAAATAATAGTTCTTTCGTACAATTAGGAGAACTCATTCTATTAGTAAACGATGAAGTCGGGTACATACAATTTTTAAGTCCCAATCTCTATAGAAAACTCTTCAAATTTAATATATAGCGATCAGCATTCCGTTAATTTCATTCGAAAAAAGCATGTTGTAGTTCAAATGACTGATTAGAACGCAAAATTCGATTCTCTTTTAAAGAAAAAGTTAAATCATTGGAAAAGGTTCATATTTGTTTGGCATACGTAGAGTTTCATCAATGATTCGGCATGATTAATAGAAGACTATGCACTTTTTTAAATTGAAGGAAAAGGAAAAACTTATCCTGCGCTCCGTATTGCCACACGAGAATGTTTTCAGTGGCAACTAAAAGATATCTTTTCAAGTGCTTCAAAATAGCTAGTTGAATCTTTTATTACCTTCAAATAAAAATGAACAAAATCAAAAACTAACTTAGTGTTTGAACCAAGGGGGAAAGACGGATTTGGGATTTTGGGATTTTTGGGATTTTGAAAATCCCAAAATCCAAAACGTGAATGATGGAATTTCCATCTGAATTTTTTCCCATGTGTAAGTCTCATGATTCTTAGAATATTCTAAAATTTTCAGCGCAAACAAACGTTTCCTTTTCAAGATAATGAATGCGCAAGAAATACTCATTTCAAGGCACGGTCAGAAAATCCAGTTTTTTTGAAAATTCAATATTTTAAGAAGGAAGCATTTATTCGAGTTGATACTTTTAGGATCTTTTATGGACCATCAAACCTATATATGGGAAGAATTTCAGGTCGAAACTATGTCATTCACAGAGAGGGAAATGCTTTTCAATTTATGGGATTTTGGGATTTTGAAAATCCCAAAAATCCGCTTTTCCCCCCTTGATTTGAACAGAATCTCTAGAAATTTGAATATATGGATGTTGTAAATCTTACTTGTTTAATATTTTCATGTTCAAATTTCAAATATAATATTCCTTATATATTGTTGTAGCAAATTTTACGTTACATCTTTTGATAGCAAAAATAAAAAAGATGGTTCACATTCTATTTAAAATATTAAAAGATAAAAAAAGAAAAAAAGAAGAAAAGGAAAAAAGAAAGTTACCCATGTTTCTGAACCACTCAATAGAATGTAGAAAAAAGAAAATCTTTGATTGTAAATGTCATAGGCACCTAACATTCATAATCAAAAGATACATGGTATTCACCTTTAAAATGTTATGATCATTATGAATACTCATTCGAATATGTCCGTCTTGTACTCTTACATATTATTTATCTTTTTCTAGAAAGATAAATAATATGTTTTTTATGTTTGATACTCCGAAGAATAAACTAATTATTAGCATAGTCTATAATGTTTAGGTCAAAATGCCTTTTGATGAATATAAAAGAATCTACCTCAATTATTTTGTTAATAATACTTACAGCATACTAACAAGTGAAGTCAAAAAGAAATATTCGAGATTTATTTGTAAAATCTACTTATAAAGAAAAAAAATCTTCCAAGGTAATTATCTCCAGTTTCATTTTTTTGTAACAGTTTTGCATGTTTTGTTTTCATGATTAATTATATATATATATATTTCTATACATCGTATATCTAAGATTTAATATATTATAGAAATTCAGTACACACACCTACATACACATACGTATATATATTCCAATGTGTTGGCACGTCAGATTTTAATTCTAAAGAAATATAGCCTTCAAGATGTAAAAAGAAGAATGTTGTATGAACTATAAATAATTAAAATGTAAGAAAGCACACGATCATCTGAATAGAACCATGTTCTCAAATAGTTTTCATGAAAACAAAATCCATACAAAACTGAAATTTACCATCAACAGACCCAGTAAAATTATTGGTCAAGGTGATCGGTCGTTTTTTAGACAACATCTAATGAATTAAGATTTTTTTACTTTCATTTAGACAAAAATTATAGACAAATGTTAACTTTAGTCTATCATCAATTGAATACTTACCACATAATGTATATATATATTAATCTAAAAAATATTTCCAAATAAAATGAAAGAATCATATTTTTGTACAATAATAATAAGACTAAATAAATAAGGTGCGTCGTTTTTTTATTTCTGTTTTCCTTTAGTGACTATAATTGTTGTCTATTACCGGAAGCAATGCTGTGTCTTTTCTTTCTGTGCATTTAACGGGTGGCCCATAAAAAATTGTCTTGTGTGTATTTTTGAATTTTCTCACCTTCCTTGAACACGATCGGAGTGTCTTTTTGACCAAACGATTTCCCGTTCAATTCTCTACAAAAAATATATCGACTGTTTTACTTCAAAATCCAAAGATACAAAATGCGATAAGTAATTGTGAGAAGCACCAAAATGTGGAAAAAAATAAACGTGGATAAATTGAACAGCAGATCTTTCGGGTATTATCTGCTCAAAGTTTGTGAGAAAGAAAAGTTATAGTAAACCCCCCCCCTATAGAATAGAAGCCCATGGGTGATGTCTCTATTCCACAAGCTATAATTTTGCAACAAAGCATGCCCTGATGCCAGTTTTTGCGTTATTTGATAGAGAAATGTTCATCCTGTCATTTTTCATCGGTTTTAGTTAATTTTCCATGAAGTAAACTTTGATTTTCAACGGAGAAATCTAACCCAGAGGGTGGGCTTCTATTCTGCGTAGGAATTTAGCCATCGTGTACGCCTTAAATAGCTCTATTGTTTACCAATGATTAAAACATTTTGCAGTTAGACTTGAGGGCGTAAGAATTTTATTATTTTTTGTCAATTTTTCAAACAACCACGATTTTTTCTTATCAATAATGTAAGCTTCCCAATCAAACAAATGCAGCTTAGTCAAAGTGGATTCATTCGAGCACATTTTTTAAATTTATATTGAAAGCCAATGTTCTATCGTTATTTTTGGATATCTAAGGTTTGACAGAAACATTATTTTGTTCAATCGCGCCAAAACAGATACAAACTGTTGCTATTTTTTACTCGATTGTTGTGAAGCTAATGTTTGTAACGGATATTTAGATTAAAATAGCTTTTGCTCTACATGGCGAGATAGAGCGCATTTGAAACTACATAAAATGTACTCAAATCGTCTTCTGATGCTTGTGAACGCATTTGAAAAAATATAGCTCGATGTGAGAAAATATCTGAAAAATAAAATTATTTTTTCGTACATTTTGGTACTTCTTACAATTACCTATCGCATTTTGTACCTTTGGATTTTGAAGTAAAGCAGGCAATATATTTTTTGTAGAGAATTGAACGGGGAATCGTTTGGTAAAAAAAGACACTCCGATCGTGTTCAAGGAAGATGAGAAAATTCAAAAATACTTACAGGGCAATTTTTATGGGCTACCCGTTAGTTTTTCCCAAACCGTTGACGATGTCAATTGTGTCTTTTTATCATTACTAATGAGCTTCTTATTACTGCCGGCAGATAAGATTAATTCTCTTTTATGAACCTAAGGGAACTGTTTGTTCGTTTTTTTCTTTCATTATATATTGAAAAATGAAAACAAAAAACGTAGTACCTTCGAGAATTCATAGGACACACATGCGCAGCAAGGTAATGATAAAAATTCAAAAATACTCATTATGTGTCTTGTCAAAGCCAAAATTCCAACTAGAAACATGCAGAGTCTTACTTTTAATGATTGCGTGATGATTCTAGCAGCTATCATTAATTAGATGGAAAAAAAATGTAAAAAAGAATCAAGTGAATTATTTAAGAAGTATTAAACAAAATACATTTATAAGAGTAACATAAAAAATCAAGTGTGCTATAAATACTATTGATGGGCATGACATCTTTATTTGTGAAGATATGTTTTCCTGTGAAAAACAAAAATTGACTAACATAGAACACAGCTTGTCTTTGATATAAACTATGATTTGAATATGAAAGAAAAAGAGTGACATGAACATGAATATTTTGGAGTTATATTATAATAATTCTATAGATGTATTATGGCTATAGTTCTTATGTGTATACTTTTCTCCGATTGTTTGTGAAATGTGATGTTCATTGGATATTAGATTTTACAGAATAAATGTGACCTTATCTTCTCAGCTTTGTAAGAAAAAATATACAAGTCAATAAGGTTCTGCAAGATTTCACTTAGTTTCAACAATCTATAAAAATCAATTTTCCAATTTGCTTCACAGACTAAAGGAGAAGAATAGTCAAGATATTGTTTTTAATTATATATTATTAGATAAGAGTTAAAATAAAGTCATTCTTCGCCCAATGTACCTTATTGATGGTAAGAAAACAATCAGATGCGTTCTCTTCAAATGATCCATTGTTGTCTCACTTCATATTGAGTCAATTATTTCAAAGGGCACACTTCTTTTTCTCTCTTGATTGTATTCTAGCAAAACAAATTTCCGAAAAACATTATTTAAAAAGATAGATAATAGAATTTTATTCAAAATGGTTTTAACTTAGTGTATAATAAATTTAAAAAAAATTCACAACAACTCAGTTTTCATTTACGCCAATCAAAAGATGCTAATAAAACGTCCTTATTAATAATTATATGCAGCATTCTACGGATATGTCTAGAACAACAGAGAACGCTTTGATGTTTTCTGATCATCTCGTCGCTCTATACTGATGTTGTTTTGGTGCGATCTACACGATTTTTGTAATGATGAGAACACAGATCAATATATGCTCCTCCGCATGTACAGTATCGTTGTCAAGGACATGTCAGCGATATTTACAACTGTTTTCTTCTTATTTACATCGCAATTATTTTCAATGATGGAAATTTAAATGGCGTTAAACGTAACTAGCCCGTTATATAATAATTATTTTAGTCTTGGTACTATTTGATTATGGTAATCGTTCTGCAGCGTTTAGTTAGTACTGTTTTCCCACTAAGTGGTTTGTGATAATACTCTCTGTTTAATATCTTCAATATTGCTATTAATAATAGTCAAATTGATGTACTTTTAGTTAGCATTGTTGAATCATTTCTTAGATATAAATATAATTCTTATCTGATTAAAAGAAAAAGGTGCGATTATTCTTTTGATGACGACAAAAGCAAGCTAATAAATAATCTTCGATATCACGCAATGCACTATTGTTGTTGTTATGGTGTTGTTATTTTTCTGTCGATCATTACTGATTCTATCGAGTGTTTTGCTCAGGAAAATTCATTAACCGCAGGGCACATTCTCACTCGCGAGAAAAAGCAAAACAATTCGTGTGTTCTAAAAGAGAAAATAATGTTCTACTTTTTCTATGTTTTTCTCCCGTGAGTTTCTAATACCCAATGGCACACTTGTTTGATAACGAAAGACCATCGTCATCGAAGACGACCAATCTATTAACGTGAAAGTTATATTTGTCTAGATCTGCATCTGTTTATCAAACAAGTGTTTGATGAAGTCCTAGAAATTTCTATTGTCTCTCATTTTGATATATTTATTCATTTTTTTTTGTTTAATTGTCAGATTTTGTTTTTCAAAAATCTTACTTTTATTGATATGTCATTATCAACAAGAAGTTATTCAAAAGAATCTCGTTCGTCCTCCCATTATTCTCGTTCGTCTTCCTATCATACAAGCGGTAGTAATAATTATAATTTTTCACATCGTTCTGGTGCTTTCAATAATGATCGTCCATTAAGCGTTCGTTTAATTGAGCGAGACTTTTCATACCCATCGCTTGCATGCAATTGGGATTTCGATGATCCATTCTTTTTTGATCGTATTCGTTGGCGTTTCGATAATAATATTTTAAAATTAAACTTTGGATTAGGACGTAATATTCCTATTAGCTATTCAAGTTGGACTAGTGGACCCACAAGAATTATACCTATTCAGTATATCTCATCATCAAAGAGTCATCGTCATCATTTATATAAAAAGTTAGACAATAATGATGATTTGGGATTAAGCTTTTCAAAGCGTCACGATGAAAATTCTATGAGTAAATAATATCCTAGAGAGTAAAATGATTAAATAATGCATTATGTATATTTTAGTACGAGAAAATCGTCTTTCATCTGATGACTGGCCATCAAAAGCAGGTGAATATATGGTTCAATATATGAAAAAATCATAAGTTTACAGTTTTTTCTTCTTTTTTTTTATTGAGAACCTCTAACTCGTAAGCGAACAAGTATGACAATATATGTTCAACAGCCATGTAAGTAATGCAATGTTAACGTGATTGCTTTTTTGGTTTTCAAATTTCATACAATAGTGTTGTAAGAAAAACTGCTAACTTTTACACTTAGATATCGATCTTTCGGAAGTGCCTTATTATCGTCAAACACAGCCAACACCAACCTATCCACAATCAGCAAGAACAGATTATTACTAAACTGAACTGAAGAAGAAAAAAATTTATACTCACACGTCAATTCTTTACCATTTAGTATCAATGAACCTTCTTGTTCTCTTTTTTTAAAACTTTTATATCCCCATGTAAAAATCTTTTCAAGAATTACATATCGAGTTTTATTTTGCTTGTAAAAGTATCTTTTTCTTTGAAATAGACACGTATTATACATTTGATTATTTCTATCATAGTTGACCAAATAATAGGTATTCGATTCCTATTTATATGTAACTCATGATTGCCATTATATCAATGTAATTATTTAGTATTTATTCTAAAATAGATTTAACTTATTCGATAAATGATTACAATCAATTTATAGTACAGCCAGGGGCGGATCCACAGTGGCGCGGTTAAGGCAACGGCCCCTCCTTTGAAATTTATGTATGTGATAGCCTAATTATTATTTTGTTTTTATATGATTTACAGAGACAACGAGTGTTCAGTTCTCACTAGTTTCGACTTTACGGTGCATGTATTCTAAAAGTAAAGACTCGATAAAAGAAAAATAATTTAGATATAAATTCTTCTCATAGTTTTATATCTAGTATCAAATTCTTTTTTTCTCTTATGGTGCAACGTGTCTATCCGTGTCATACAGATGATGAACATTTGTAGAGCAACAATGGCGTAATCAACGATTATGATTTTGGCTCATTTGAACAGATAATAATAAAAAATGCTAAAAAGATTATCACTAGTAACATCAATAACTCGATTGCATCCGCCCTCTCCTTCTAAATTTCCTGGATCCGTCACTGAGTACAGCTATTCTGCTAAAAACGTAAACCAAGATGTGCTCACTATTCATCAGTGTTGTACCTAATCCAACGGTTAATAAACTAGATCAATACTCATATGACATTCAAAGGAAACTTTCACTGATATTACTATTAGAATTTATAAACGGTTACAACTTAGATTTTCTAAGAGTTTTCTTTAAAATGGCAAGCAAACCGAAAAAGAAATGGTAATGTCATCATACCAAAAAGCTTGTTAAACGACACTTAAGAGATGCTTTTTTATGTAATGTAATGCTCGTCATGTTTCAAGAAAAGTTCTTAAAATGTACAACTTCTTCTTATTGTTATTCACCGTTGAAGACTCTTTCAGATAATCATATTGACAAAATGATACTTTTTTCATGAAGTATTCTAGAACCTAAAAATAACTTTAACTTTCTCTATTCTAAGCAACCTCCATCTATAATATTTTAGTATTGAATATATACGTATGATAGAAAGTTTGAATACATTTTCATATCACTAGATCTACATTTCTATTAGGTATTTGATCCTTGGCAAAAAATCAAGAATATCTTTTTTTTTCTTAAATATTTATTTCGATATCACATCTGTCGTTAGATGATCTTATTGTAGCATGCATTTTTCGAAATTTCGTCAATAGTTGAAAACTTCTGGATAAGTAAAATTTACAATTTGATATTTCCTAAAAACAAAAATGCTGATAATTTCAAAGATACATTTCAGCTGAACTACATTAAAGAACTTTTTATTAGTATAAGATCATTCGGTAATGCAATGAATAGTCGAAGTATACAATACTCGATATGTTATAGAGACAAAAAAAAAGAAGAACTAATGCTTAGCGGATTTATCGATCACTTTTCTATTGTCGTTGACAACAATAAGTGACAAGAGATTAGATTCTAAACATCACGTTCATTGTTGTCTCGCACCAATTGATTGTTGCATCAACCGATCGACAAACACTATCGGTTAGTTAATCTCTGTCTATCGTTATCGGAAGACTTAATACCTTTATTCTCTCTGTCTCTGCCTTTCTGTCTCTCTTACTTTGCTGTGAGTTCACATTGGTAAACGCAACGAATCATTCATTCTAATCATGCCATCGTTCTTCTTCTATCTCGTAATATTTCTTCTTAAAATTATTCATGAACATGAAGTTTATTCAATTCCAACATGTGTCATTATTGATACAAATATGATTCAACGCACTCAAGATGAAATATCACCATCGAATAATCGTTCATCCTCATCATCATCGTTACTTCTAAAAAATCTACGTATGTTTGATCATCAACGTTCATCTAGTTTATCCGATTATGTTGTAGAACGAATACCAATATCTCATATTGACCTCAAACAATCACAATCATCATCATTAATCGATATAGATTATGCATCGTTAAAGAAATCTTTAACAGATTCAACTATTGATCGTACATTCTCTCCATGTCGTTTACAATTACTCAATGAACTTGAAACTCAAATGGTTGTTCCATTTGAATTTCGTCGTTTACGCATTGAACAACCTGATCATCATACTAAATTTCTAGATGATGATCCACGCGAAACAGTTCCTGACTGGTCAACAGCTGTTTATGAAAGACGATCAGACCCAGACGGAACTCGATTTTGTCGTATTTGCCGTGATGGTAAATTGAAAAACAAAAGAATTTTTTTCATATTTTACTTTTTTAATAGGCGATTGGACTGAATTGTCAGTCTGTGAAACAGTGCGATGTGATGCAGAATTACTACGAGCTAATCCACGTTTAGTTAGTCAATGGGGTGAAATAAAAGCAATAGATGGTGGTTCACTTTACCCTCCATTGGCTGTATTTGCAATATATGCTTTTGCATACGGACCTCACTGTAAAAGATGTGAATCCAATGGACAATGGAGTCGTTATGCTTTACCAGAACTGTGTTCAGGAATTCAATTTTTTGGTCATTCTACGCTGACAAAAATAAAAATTACAACACGAGCAACAGAAAAAACAACAACAGCAACAACAACAACAACAACAACAACAACAGCATCAATGAAAACAGCATTTGCGAACAATGTTATTCCGAAAATGAGACAAAATACAACGACATTAGAAACGATTTTAATAAATAAACAGCAATAATATGCATTTATTTAATTGCATAAATATATCGATATGGATTACAAGAATTCTGTTTGAAAATAGTCTTTTATTACAGAAAAATATTTAATATCAATACAATCTTTATTAAATAAGTGTGAGAGAAAACGAATTTTACTAGCTGGTTACGAATACTAACTTTTCGGAGCAGATGGTAATGAATTGATATAATTGATTAAATCCTAATTAAATAAAAGCAAACAGTTATTGTTTTATAGAGATAGCAAGATTCGAAAATACGAAATACTAGCTGATGTTTTAAACAATACTTGTTTGTATGTCTTAAATTATTCTGTTTTCCAATAATAATAATATGAATTAATATAATAGAAAAAACAGCATGCTATTGTTTTAAAACAAAGTTTAATAATCTGACTCAACATCAAGCGTTTTCAAGAATAATTTTTTCTCTTGGACTAAATTCGGTGTGACTATTGAAGTTTCTCTTCTAACGATGATACGATACTCTATTGATTCATTTCGATTATTGGCCATGAGATTGTCAAAAAGCTTTATATAAGAGACAATCATACGAGAGGAAATGATGAAAAATACTTTCTGATCGAAAACTATTTAATTACTTTTGAATTACAATCAAAGTTTATCACCTACCATTTTATTAGTAGATTCAGCCAGTTGTTGAAGTGTTTTACCACCAACCTAAAAAGCATGTCTATCAAATAAAAATTGATTGATATTTTATTCTTTACTATACTTTGCTTAGTCTCCTGAAATCTGCTCCATGTGTAACCAATAATTGTGTTGTTTTTAAATTTCCGCGTATCACTGCCATTTGTAATGCAGTGGTAAATGTTATTCCATCTTCAGCTTCAATATTTGCCCCATGATTAATAAGAAATTCAATTATCTCTTTATTGCAATCATGCATTACTAAATGAATTTATTCTAAAATAGTTTCGTCATCTGAAAAGCAAACTTTTTACCTGCTCGATATAGTGGCGTCCATTTATATACTGCAACTTCTCTATTCATTTCAATTTCTTTATCTTTATTAAGACTTCTAATTATAACAGAAATTGTTTCAAAATTTTTACTGTCAATGGCATGATGTAATACAGAAATACCTAAATTAGAATAATATAAAATAATAGTTTCATGTGATCGTCATTTACCATTTTGATCAATGCTACAATTGTTTGCGCCATTTTCGATAAGTACTGCACATGCTTTATGAAAACCTGTACTGGCTGCCACCATAAGTCTAAAATTTATTTGTAAAAATTCATTGAAACATAAAAATAAATTGACCACTTACGGTGTTTTTCCAGAACCAACACTACTGTTAACCATTGCTCCTGCTTTGATTAGTAATTCAACTTTTCTATAATAGAAAAAGATTTATTTTTACGACTAAGCGAAAGAAAATTTTCATGAATATTTTACCCAACATCAAATTTAGCACATGCATGCATTAAAGGTAAATTTCCATCTTTATCCGGACGTTCTAGTAGATAATGGTTTGAACCTCTGCAAGAAATAAGTTCAAATACATTTGTTCAAGAAAGTTAAAAGCATACAAAATTCGAAGTAATTTTTCTAATTGATCTTTTCCAGGCGCAGCAATAGCTTTGAAAACTGTTTCAGCAGTCATTGGTTCTGGTGTTGTTCCTACTTGAAATATTGACGACCAATCTGAGCGTTCACCACCATTAGAACCTAATTTACATTGTATTCGAAATTCATATTGAGTATTGGCTTTAAGATTTTCAGCTTTATACGACGTTGCTGATCCTCTAATTACATTAAACAGAAAACCAAATTTGAAATTAAAAACATTTATCTGGCATACGTGTATATACTTTGCCAAAGTGAGCCAATTCTTTTCTCGCGTCCATGTAAATAAATTAAAGAGCCTGGTCGTGCTGCACCGGATTCGTCAAACAATCTTTTATCTTCTGGACGATCTTGATCCTGAATTCGTACATCTTCCCATTGAAGTTCAATTGAATGATGATTTGCATCTACTAATACTGGAGCTAGTGGTTTTTCTAAACGCCCACCTAACGAAAACAAAAACTTCTAAAGGTTAAAAAAAGAAGTTTATATATTTACTCATGTTGCTATTTTCGCTTTGAGTGAGTAATGATAATCAAAGGGAAAAAAGGAATATGCTTGTTCTTTAAATAGTTTTAGTGCGTTGTTTGATGTCGTCATTATCGTAGCATGTCATTAAATAAAAAGAAAAAAAAGCTAATATTGAAGCGAATCGAATACTAAGAGAAAAAAAGGAGACGAAAGAATAAACACGCGCTCGGTCTTTTATTTTCTTCAATTGAAATCAATTGCTCGTCTAAGTTCCGTTTTTTTATAAATGACAGTTATCCGTTCGGAAACTTGTCTCGAATGGCATTAGATATATACGTATATACATTATCAAGGAATAGCTAGTGCTCAATTGTTAGTTTTTTACTGAAAAAGAAAGTCATAAACAAATTAATATATTCAGAGTAAAGCATGTCAATCATTTTTTATCAATGTAACGGTGGATTGCATGACAACATCCTACATGACATAGTTTTACAGTATTCCATACCAGAAAAAAATCTATATAAGCGGCTTTGTTTCTTTTAATTGCTATCAAATTATGTTTTGAAAATGATGATATAGTATTAGTCAATATTTTATATTCGATTTTGATCAAATAGAAAATATTCATATGAAAATCTATAATTGTTGGATATAATCAATGAATGCTTCTGTAAAGCGACGATCTGTTTGCTGTTGAAACAAATGTTGGTTTCATGTCGTTCAGTACATTCATCCATTCTTTTTTCTGTTCAATCATGATTAGACTCAATTAAGTATTGCTCAATGTTAGCCTTTTTTACTATATCTGACTAATCATCGTTTCAATACTAACACATTTTACATCACATAAAGTCATCGAACTTAACAGTAAACAAATATAGGACATTTGAATAATATTCACCGTTGCCAATAATCGACGTCGGAATTAGTAATTACTCGCAACAGCTATGACTAGGTTTATTTGTTGGATGAAAACTGTTTACATTCTTTAAAATCTAAATATTTTTTCCAATCGACCCATTGTATATAGAAAAAATGCCAGCATTCATTCAAGTTCGATTTGTTAGATACGATTGTGGATACGTTAAATATCGATAAGTTCGTTGTTTGCATATATAAGATTGCGATAAAACAAATTGGAATTGGAATTGACACTTTCTTAAAAATATTTCATATAAGAGAATATTTTTGGTAAAATATTTGTAATTAGGAATGATTTCTATTTTTGTTTTGATCGAGTACGAGGTATGAAAGTTATTCTCTACATCAATACTATTGTTGCTAACGAATGAGTTGCATGCCCGAAAAATTTAGATACGCATGGATTCTTGTTTGTTGTGATAGTTTGTTTTTATATTTAGGGATGAAAATTTTCACTGAAACGTTGTCATTTGCTTTAATAGCATGTGATAACGACGCTTCAAGGTCATATTCCAACAGTTATAAGCTAATGTTTTTTCTCTTATAAATGTATCTCTTAAAATATGTTTTTAATATTTGAACTGTCCTTTATCTTAGAAAAACTGATGAACTCTCTCTCTCTCTCTCTAGCAATACGAAAAGAAGAAATTTTGTATGACTCCAGTCACATATTAATCAGAAAAACGAAAGTAATTTTTGAAACACATAGTATATTGAATAATTCAATTCTCTAGGGAATTTATGTTTTATAAATCATCAAAAATAATATATTTATATTTACTCTGTTATTCTATTCGAGTTTATGCGTCACTTTTCTCTCTTATAGAAAAATATCGAAAGATTGAAAAACAGCGATACAATACTTTACACAATTAACATTATGAAGGTAGCCTAATAATATGTGCCGTATATTAAAAACAAAGTTTACTTTGAAAGGCAGATATTCAAGATTTTCTTAATAATCCAGTTATTTCATGAAGTCATTTCAATTTTTCAATCAAAAACAATTATACTTATATAGTTATTATTATTTAATCGGTACGAAAGTTCTTCTGAAATAATTAATAAATCAATTGAAAAATTATCAATGTATCGATATAGAAAAAGGGCTTTGAAATATGAGCATAGAATTATAGATAAAAACAAAAATAAAGTTCTAAAATATTCTTTTTTTTAGCTTTAATAAATACAACAATATCATTGAATGTGTCTTTTGTATGTATACTCTAACAGTATCAACTAACAAGAAATAATTAAGAAAATTTCATTCATCTTTATTTTATTCACATAACAATAGAGTGTGCATAAAAAACAGAATGACATACTAAAAGGTAGTATTTGCAATATACGTTTTTATTAACATCGATAAAAAAAAACATGTAGCAAAAATGTAACTACAAATAAAGATTTCTGCATTATATTTGACCAAACTTGATATGCAGTTAAGTATTCGAATCAATTGAAAAGTCTTAGAAAATATTAGAAAGGAATCCATGGCCCAAGATTTTTTCTATTTTTATTTCATCGCCAGATTAATTTCTTTCCACAACCTATATCGTAGACCTTGAGTATGCCGACAAGATTAACCTGGATGTAATAAAAACTAGCTAGAGATATAACGAAGAAACTGAAACAATACCAGTGCATGTCATTAGCATGATTGTTCCTCTCTATTTTATTTCACTATACTAACATTTATTGAAACTCAGGAATGATGATAACTACAATAGTCAATGAATGCATAGAAATAAGTATTTTTCTCAACTTTCATCCATTTCGAGACCAGTTAAATGCATTCTATTAGATTATTATGACAAATTTTCACAGTGGTCATTTCCACACAAAAGTTTTACATAGATTTTTGGTTACTCAATCTTCTAAAGAATAAATATAAAACTCGTTATTCTATATTAGATCAAAAACGGTGTACGGTCATCAACTGACTCAATCATTATGTGTCAAATATGACGTCTCCGTTACTGCCAAGATGAAAGCAGCAGATATTTGAAAGTAATTATAAAATAGTAATGTACACAGCTTTTTTTCTTTCAACAGATTTGAAAATACATCCAGTTAAACGGAAATTCAATAATGGCAGTTGTTTGGGATTCGATGAGTTCTATGCGTTCTGAACACCAGCGCACTAGTGCAATCTAGTCTTATCAGTGCAATTAACAGTATTAGTTCGGATAACATCGCTGTGCACTGGATTTTTTTTCTATCGGCACGCAACAATAACTTAAAGCTTTTAGTTAACACAGAAAGTTTCAGTTCTGGATTTTGTTTTAATGAACATGATTGCTTTTCATACTTGATGAATTAAAATATGAAAAAATTTCATATTTACGTAATTGCTTCATTTAGAAAAGTGCCATAGATGATACTTTGTGAAATAGAATTAAACAAAAATACAATACACATACACTAACTATTATTAACTGTCTATGCTTTTTTGAAAGACTCGCTTATTGACTAAACATATCTAGGCGTTGACATCACCCATCAGTTTATTGTATTTATTTATTGGAAACGGTTTTTATTTGTCGATTATAAAATTTCATGATAAATCAACATCTTACGCTTTCATTTTTTAAGAAACATAAACAGTGCTTTTCTTCTTTGCTGTGACGTAGTTTTAACGCTTTGTTGATTTAAACTAAAAAATTAAATTATTGATGAAATTTTAATATTTTTCTCTTTTTCTAAAATTCAATAGAACTAGCAGTATAAAAAGCAGCCACATTTTGCGTTTGTTTCTGTTCATTGTATTGTCAAAACGTAAGAATCTCTGACTAATAAGATCTTTGCTGGTTATTTAATTGACTATAATGAGTTGGGTTATTGCATTCTTTTTGGTGACATCTTGTGTGGCAGTTCAGTCACAAGCATGGCCTGGATCCTATACACCGGATTCATCATGTAATGTCAATCAATGTTGTTGTATTATCAACGATATGGTTATAACTCAACCTACATCAAATACAATATCATTCAACACAAGTTTAACGGGTGTATGTCTTGGAGAAACATCCTATGATGGTGACGCTAATTATTCAGGTGGTTATTCAATTTCGGTTTCCAATAGTCTCGTTACATTAGCAATTACATTGAGTAGCGATAGTAATAATCTCACTATCACTAGTTCCACGTCCATGGGCTCGGCATGTACCGTAATAGCTGCTCGAGATGCTACTACGGTCGCTGCTTCAACTAGCACTAATCCTGCTGTCGCTGCTTCAACTAGCACTAATCCTGCTGTCGCTGCTTCAACCACTAGCAAACGTAATAGTGCTGCTCAAAACAATGGTCGCATTATAATGCTCTTACATTTCTTTTTTGTGTGTTGTAATAAATATTTGAATCCCATAAGCTAATATCTCTTATATTTCTAATCAATCGAGTTTTCATTTTCATCAAAGACATGCTTGTTGGTTTTCTAATGCGTATTGCATCAAAAGATTTTTAACAATAAATGTGCAGCAATCTCAGGGCGAATTTTACGATTGTATGTCGTCATATTGCTTGACTCTAGGTTTACGATCAATGTAAATTACTGTCTCTCGAAATGTAAGATGATGCAGCCTAATACTATCGAATTGTCATATGTTTAGCTCCATGAAATAAGGACTTGCTAGTCCTTATCCTTCGACAGTAAATCCTTGAAATATTTTGTTTCTTCTAAAATTTTTTGAACGATCGTATTACTCGAGAACGCTCACGTTTGAATGCAGCGATCAACTTCATATAAATAAAAGCAGTTGCTATAAAATAAACATAGTTAATAGCTTTTAAAAACAAAATTCATATTCAAATAAATTATTCATGTGAATTTAAAGAAAAAAACAATTTAATTTAAAACGAAGGAAAAACGTTTTCATTTGAAAATAAAAAAGCAAAATATTAGTCTCTAAGAAAAAACTGCTTACATTTATATCGCTCAATTTGATCTAGACTAAAAAATAGCTGCTTTAAAAAACAATCTAATTTTTACATTTAAAGAAAAACACTAAATTTGTGATAGAAGAATGATGATTTTCGTTCAAATAGTTAAAAAATTTCCCATGCGGAAAGTAGCTTCTATAAAATTACTTTCTCATGAAGACTTTCTTTTTAATGCATCGTTCAATTTAATTCAATAAACGATAATGATTACCGAAAGAGTGTGAACATTTTTCATTTCACTTTCATCATTTTACTTGATCTGAATAAAATCGTACGTTTTGTGAGAAAGGAAAAAAAACTTGTTTGAAATAGTTGACAAAAATTTAACTTTGAGAATATTTTTAAAAATACTTTCGTTCCCATTTACCGTTTAATTTCATTTAGATAAGATTATTGACTTTAAAAGTGTTTTAAAATAAATGGATAATATTGTAATTTGAAAGAAATTAAATCTCATCATAAACCATTTTTTATTTTAAAATAAATTTTAAAAAAATTCGTTTCAAAGCTATTAAAAATACATTATTGCTACCAATGATGTATTATTTGGATTGAAATATAGATTATTCACTTGCATGTGAGTGAGCAGTTTCTCATTGTAAAATGTAAATAGTGTGGTTCGTTTAGTCTATGTAAATTTAATCGAATCAATTGAATTGCATTTTTTATACTGTAAAATTGTATTTTTATTTAATTCAAAGGTAAAGAGCTCTGTATATTCCAATTAGGGCTTTTTGTACTAAGAAGAACGACGAATAGCGTCATACAGTTCGAAAACTTTATTTCCGGGTTAATCTTTTATCTTTTGAGTAGAAATGCAAACAAACTGCCGTCATATTTTTAGAGTAAAAGGAATTCTAATAGAATCATATGACACGAGATTCCCATAATTTTCAAGGTTACTATAATTGCTACTGATGGGTGGGCTGTAAAGAATGGCATCTTCTGTGCATAGGCGGTATTTTCTTTAATCTCTGTTATTGAAACTTAATTGTGTTTTCGAAAGATCCATTTTTCAATTCGCTGCAAAACCCTAGGATATGTTCTACTTTAACGCGTCATACTAAAGAATCATATTATGTAGGGATGATTGGAGGTGGTCGAAAGTTGTGTATTTTCAAACCTTTTCTTTCTTCTGAAGAAATAAATTTATTTAGTATGAAAAAAGTGCTTCGTCATATTTTAGTCCTTGAAAAGTTACATATTTTGCTGAGACCTTGAATTGTTAGTTTGTTGAATAATATTGAAAAGCAAAATTTTATTTTTTTCCAGACTAAATTAACTTTCTGGCAAAAACATGTGTGCAATACTTAGATCTTGTGCTTTGGAATCGAAACCTGACATTGTACTGTCAGTTTTCCCCTTTATTTGAAGAAAAATGATTATTCTATTTGTATTAATTAGTAAAATAAGAGCATACTTTAGTTAACTGATTTGAAATGTGTGCAAAAGTAAATATGTTTGAACCTCGGAGTTTATATTTCAAGAAATCTCACTTTGCTTTTATATAAAAATACTACTCGAGAAAGTCACGATGATCATACTAAAACAAAAATTATTTTTGAAAAATTCGTTTCTGCTCCATTAGATATCTGCTAGATAAAAACAGATACTAATTTACTCTTTAAAAACGAAGATGATGTTTGAAAGTGATATACTTTCATTCCATACAATTTTCTTGAGTCGATTATCCAGTGAAACCTTTTAAGATAAAGTGTCATATCAAATTTTGTAGAGAAGTAAATAAGTTATCGTGTGCAAGAAGAGATGAAGCTGCAATGATAAAAAAAAAGAGCAATACGAGTTGTATGATGATTATGTATAATAAAAACTCTGTGGCATAGACTTCCATATGGCATCATCTCTAATATGTTTTAAATTTATGCGAAGCAATTAGATGATTTCTCGTGTTACTCTTTTCATCTTATTCTTTTGAACGCTGTTGTTATCGAATAACAAACTATATTATTAACAATCAGTCGGCCATTTTTTTTAATTGCCTCGATATATAATATTTAAAAATAATGTCATTCTTTCTTTTCTTCAGATATCAAGAAAATAAATGATAATGAAATCTATGTACGGAACAATAGATTTCTTAAGAATAATCTGGTAGCATCATTCGAAAAAAAAAGATCTGGTATACTTATCTTTGCTGAAAGCCCCTTTGAATCTAGTGATACTTCGACCATGTTTCAAATCTTACGAAAATGATGTATTTACGAAGGAAGGTCGTTGTGTGTTAAACCGAAGATCTCGAAGAAACCTATGCACGTTTGTGAAGTGAAGTGCTGGTATCTCAAATATAAACAAATTAGTGGCTGGGAGCAGACGAATAAAAAAATTCAGTGAAAAAAATTTGTGCAACCCTGACGGTTACTGCAGACGAAGAGTTATTTTATGACCAAGCACTGGTGGTTCTCATTGGGGTTATACAAAATTTATTCACTGAAATTTTTTGATTCGTTTGCTCTCAGTCACTATTTTACATTTGAGATACCAGCACTTGACTGCATAAATTCACATAGGTTTCGCCGAGATCTCCGGTTAAACACCCAGGGTCTTTCCCTCGTTAGATATGAATGTCTCTCTCATCATTCCAGTTTTATTCAAGATGCTTGATAAATTTTCCGAGTTGAAAATCATATTTCATCGATCGTGGCTACGTGGATTGAAACGCAGGTGCACTTTAAATTACTTTAATCTTGCTATCATGATGTAGAAATGGTGAATTCGTCGATTATTGTCCATAAGCATTTCGATCAACTCAGAAGTTCTTTTCAATGTAAAATTCAATTAGTAGACTGTTTCGCAAAGAGTATTCGCATGTTTGATAAAAATCTGTATTTTGTTTTACTTTAGAATGCTTAGCCACATTCAGTAGTAACATCATAATGAAAATAAAACAGCAAGCAACATTTCAATAAAAATATTCTTATCGAATGAAAGGAAAAATAATTGTTATTTCTACCTATAAGACAAGATTCTATAGGTTGATGTGATTTAAAAAGCGAAATTCAACTGATCATCATCGAAGAAAAATTTATAAAAAGCATGATTTGATATCTTAAACATTTAAGACGTCAAAGAATTTAATTAGAGAAACACTATTTATGCTACTAATTTTACCTACAATATAACGGTCTATCTCACAAATACTGAATTATGAAGTCTATCTGTAATCATTCATATATCAGACAATAGTATACGCAGTGTCAACCACATATTCGTGTGTGTCTATCAATCCAATATGAGTTGATATTGTCAAATTGTATCGCTGTCTACTTCTCTAAATTAACTTTTAGAAATTATAAGAGTAGTAATGACGAAATGGATCCTTTTAGATCATGTTTCATACTTTGATAGTCGATATGATAAACAAAGAAAATATCATATTATTTGTAAAACTCGATCCATTTTTCTTCATATCTACATAGTTATTATAAGTATTGTAAGTGTTTATGTTCAATATATATTTATTAATGAGTTAGATAAAAAAAAGAATGAATGAGGAATTAGAAAATGAAAATAATAATTGTTTTTTTTTGTTTCATTGTGATATTTTAGGTTATAATTGAAAATGGTCAAGCGTTATTTTTTCACCAATGAAAGAAGTTCGACTAGAATAAGAGAGAAGATAGATGCAAGCGTATGAAAAAGAATATAGTGCTACATACTAGGAATCGGAAATACAATGGTCGAGTTCTTCTCAGCCGATATAGTCGTCAATGTTTGAAGATAACGAAGTTGTAATGCAATCGGACTCTGGCTGATAATGTCGGCGGCTTCCTGTAGGTGAAAATAGAGATTCGATAGATATGACTTCAAACAGAAATCTTACTTTTAGAGATCGTGACGCTTTCTGTTCACCCTCTGCAGCAATCACATTTGCACGAGCTTCGCGTGTAGCTAAAACGAAAACGAAAACATCAATTAATTCAATTCTTCAGATACAATTATGTCGACTAATACTGACCTTCAGCTTCAGCAGCCATACTACGTTGCATACTTACAGGAAGTCGAACATCCTTACTGAAATCAATTATGAAACATACATTTGCAAGATATTTAGATAATTACATCTCTACTCGTTCAACTTTCACACCCCAAGGTTCTGTGCCTTCATCCAAATGTGCTTGCATTGTATGTGAAATGTTTTCACGATCACTCAAAATCTCTTGCAACGTTTTAGTACCTCTATATAGAAAAACAAAATGGAATGTTTCTATGATACTACGAAATTATTACTTACAGAATGTTACGCAAAGTAGTAGCAGCTAGTAGTTGTGTTGCAATGGGTGAGTTTTCAACATTAATTACGCTAATAGTTGGATTATAAATTCGAAAATAGACAACAGCATCAACTGAGACAGTCTAGAAAAACAGAATATAATTTACAAAAATGTTTTATATTCATTCGGAATAGCTAACCACAGAATCACGAGTTAGAATCTCTTGTGGTGGAACATCGAAAGTAACTAGAAAACAAACAAACAATCATCATTCTTTCTACATTTCCTAAAAACTCGAATAAAAAATCAATTCTACGTACCAGTTCGCAAATCAATTTTTACAATAGAATCGACACACGGTAAAATGAAAAACAGACCAGGACCCTTAGCACCGTCTATGCGATTTCAGAAGCATAATTGAAAGATTTCTATTTTATTATTGAATCATACCGGAACCGATTCGGCCGAGACGCATTATGACAGCACGCTCGTACTCTTGTATAACCTAGAGGAAAGTTTTATTGATTAAACAGAAGCAAACCTTTTTAGATTATTATAAGTCATACTTACTTTGATTGTGACACATAGTGAAAATGGAAATGTCAGTATAACGAGAATATAGGAAAGGATTACTAAAATCCATCCACAGGCTCCAATACCTTCCTCCGTATTACGAATATCATCTATCGGTTAAGAGAAAAAGGATCAAATGATGAAAAAGAAACAATCAAATTATGGGATATTTTGTTGTGCCCTCAAATATCTGACTGTAAAATAAGATACGTGTACGTGTTTTTCATTATCAAAATTTGTTTCTTTCATTCTCAGTATCGAAAGTGTACGGGGATATAGAAGATACATTCGACGTCAGGAATATACCAGAGAAAAAGAAAACAAACATGGCAAATATTCAGTTTTTTTACTTTGATTATTTGTTGAATAGCCTGTTCTGATGACTTGTACTGGATTAGCTGCAACATGGAAATCAATACAATACTGCAAAAAACAAAAGTATTTCTAAATTATTCTAATTTACCGTCTGAAAGGCTACTGCTACCAATCATATTTTCACGTGGTTTCGTTGACATGGTAACGGTATTTAAAGAGAAAATGACTTTATCTAATTTCTACAACAAAAAAAAACATATCATCCCAACTGTTCTGCATTGGAGTTAAGAATAGTCATTTGCATCTCTTGCCTTGAAATAAATAAAAAGGGTTTTGATTTGTCTGATGTGATCTCTTTTTTATATCCTTAAAAAAATATTTTTCTCCTATAATCCCCATTTTCTTCATTTCTTTTGGCGTCACTACAACGGTTTACGTCATGTCATGTATACACGAAGAATGAAAGAGCGAGAGCAAAAAGCGTAGAAAAGCGTCAGAGCGCGGGTAGTTGCGATAAAATAATGATGTGAGTGCAGGAAAAAATGACTGTAGTTTTATTCAGCTTTTGATCGAGAAAAATCGATGAGTAACAATTTACGTCGCCATCTGACAATATTTTTATTATTTGACAAGCTAAAACTACACTATACTACTATTCTGTTTACCGTTGTTTTGTAGCGCCACCTACAGAAAAACCATCTGATCGATATAAACATTTTAGTAATTAAAAACAAACATTTCAGAAAAGTTTCTTAAAAAAAATTCAGTTAAATCAACTTTCAAAATCGAAAAAACAGGATATTTTTCTTGAATGTCAAGTCAGCTTCTTTTTACATATAATTACATGAGCCAAAATTAGTGACTGAAAGGAAAGGCTCGTGACTAGAGATGTGCGAGACGAGCTCCGATATCGGTACTCATAGCCGGAGCCGGAGCCAAAAAATAGAGCTTTACCGGTACTGTGGCCGAAACCGGGACCGAAAGTCTAAAATTTTAGAAGGACTGGGACTGAAAATCCAAATTTAACCGGATCCATGATCGGAGCCGTAACTGCAATTGAAATCTGTGATATTTTTAACTTTCTCATTTTTAAAATTGAATTTTCCGTACATCATAAATCAATTTATTATTTTCATTAGGACTATAACAGTTCGGAAACAGTTCCGAACTGGTGAACTGTTCAAACAGCTCTCTCGAACTGAGCTGAACTGTCTGAACAGCTCAGTTCAGCTCACTAGAACTGGTCGAACAGCTCTCTCGAACTGAGCTGAACTGTTTGAACAGTTCAGTTCAGCTCGCCAGAACTGTTCGAACAGCTCTCTCGAACTGAACCGAACTGTTCGAACAGTTCAGTTCAGCTCAAGAGAACTGTCAGAACAGCTCTTTCGAACTGAGCTGAACTGTCGAAGTCCTAGTCCTAAAGGTACTCTATAGGATAGCTCGCCAGTTATCTCAGCTTATCTGAGCTGAGCTGAACTGTTTGAACAGTTCAGTTCAGTTCGAAAGAACTGTTCTAACAGTTCTTTGCAACTGAACTGAACTTTTCGAACAGTTCATCGGTTCGTTTGAACCGGGTTCGTGAGCTGGAGCTGTCGTAGTCCTAATTTTCATACTAATATCATGTAATACAAAAAATGTACATAGCATAAAGCAAAATGACAAACGAAAATAAAAAGCGTAAATATCAAAAATAAATAAATAAGCAACTCAAATTCACGTACTTTACTACACAAAAAAGACATTTTTTTGGCTATCATCAAAGTCAAAAAAGGGAATTGATTTTCTGCTGGCTTTAAATTAAATTCAGATCATATTTGATCAATAAATAATCGAACATTCGTAGCAGTACCGTCTATTGGATCATATGCTTGGCCTTAAAAATTTACATGGGCGTGGCGAACCATAGTGTAGAAATCATGAATTTTTAGTTCTTTGAAGAATAATAAATTAAATTCTATCAAAATTATACTTTAAAACCAACACGAAACATTGTAAATCATTTTCAGAAAGAATTTTTCTATTTAATTCAAGGGAGGAAACGAGTAATTCTGTGCTTCTTTGTATTTCTCGGTACTTTTTGGTCATTATTTTTATGATGAATTTTTTATATTGCTATCGATGTTTGTTTTACTACATTATTTTAAATCAAAATTAGATTTTTACAATAGTATTGTAATATTCTTTTTCACATTTAAACAACTTCAACCGTGTCATTATTTGTTTTACACTTTTATGCATAGGCGCTTAAAAATCTTAGTGATTCTCTTTCGTGTAAGAAAGTAATTGCTGATTTTCTTTGTTAGTTAAACGACACCAAACAATGAACAATATAATATCTAGATGTATTCTATAAAAAATCTATTTCATCTAAGATTTATTATCTTTCGCCTTCTAAAGTACTATTTTCGATAGTCAAACTAGCCCCAGAGCGCTGTCAGTAGTATGATTTGAATGCACACTCGAATTAATTGTTTCTTTTCATGTTAATCACATGATTTATCCTAAATACTAAATATTGATATTTTGTAGCTATGAAGTCATACTAATTAGTATCGAATATAATAACTTTGTTTTCAGTAAATTCTACTGTTTTCTCTAGTACACTTAGTACGACAACATTCAGTAGTGACATACAATTCAAGAATCATACATTTTGATCGATATGAAAATATCAGAATTACTTTCTTTTTATCGTCATGCGAGTAGCTATTAGTTTCTATAGTATTTAGTTGGTGTATAAACGCTGAGTAACAAGCATTTTTGAAACACATTCATGTATCTATTCAGTTTCGCACGAACAATTTCGAATAGAAAATTGTACAAAAACAACAAGCAGCAACAGGAATATGTTTTCAATGGGCGGTATGTATTGACTTTGTCACACATTCGTCGATACTCAGATCCAACATTCCGGCCACCGAATCCCGTAGGATACTTCAGGGAATATGCGGGAAAGTCACCATATCCTGCAGGAAAACACAGGAAATCGCCGGAACAAGGAAGCAGTATTGTGCCAATTTATACATATGTTCGAGTGTAAGTGATATTCTTGTACATAATAATATGTTCCTCTCTCATGCACGGTCTCTATCTTTAGCTGTATATCGCTCACTCTCTCTCTCTCTGTTCTCTTCCTGTTTGTGTGGATAGTGTGCGCTGAAGTGCAATAGACCAATAAAAGGAAGTGACAAATTGAAATAAAGAGAGAGTGGAAAAACACGACATATCTTATTGTTCGTTACAAGTATTCCGGTCAAAAATACGGCCGGGCTTTTCCGGAGAATTCCTGCCAAGTTTTGGTGCTTTCCGGCAGGAATTGATCGGAAATCACCGGAAAAAAATGCGAAATTTTTCCAACCGGAATAGTGCTTCCTCAAAACCAACAGAACTACCCGGAACCGACCGTTTCCAGGCCGGACTGTTCGACCTGGGTAGACGTATGAATTCGATTAAGTAGTAATTTATGATAATTAATAAATAAATCTATATCGAAAGCTTTTGGCTAAAATTGAGTTTAAAGAAAGATCTTTTTATCAACTCTAATTATAGGTTCTCGAAAATTTTCTTTAACATAAGAGCTGCTGGTAGTGAACGAATCAAACGATTATAGCAAAACAGACATTGCTTACCTGCTCATGTCAGAAAATACGGTCAGTATACGACTGTTTACGGTGAAAAAACGATATCTAAACGGACCGTATACGGTCATGATACCGAATGCAGGAATACGGCCGTGTCGTAATGAGAATCCGGCGTATATACGACCGTATACGGCGAAAATACGGTATCGTTTACAGTGCCGTATTACTGCATCCAGTACTACGGGAAAATACGGACAGTTTACTGCCGTAAAGATGTCGTTTTCCTACAGTTTACTTTCAGAAAATGGACCGACCGTAAACGATATCCGTTTTGATCGATCTGGGTGCTGATGATAGAAATATAAAAATTATTTATAGAATGTTATCTTTTTCAATAATCAGTTGATTGATGATCTACGTATTTCAGAGATTAATGCTTGTGCTAGCTTTACTAATAATAATCGTATTAATTAGTGAACAGCTATTCTATCTTATAGAAAATGTTTTTCTTGTGTTTCCTATAGTTGTCGCTATATGTTACTGTTCTTTAATATCTTTTTTGCGATTGGTTAATTGGAAAGATTAAGAATTTTAGAATGCCAAGTCATCACCAACTATTGGTGTAAGCAAGAAGAAAAGAGGCAACGAATTACTTTTAAAAGACAATTTTTTCTATTTAGATTTCTTTCCTTCGATTATACAAGAGAAAAACAATGGAGAATCTTTATCGACTTCCGTTTACTATTGTGCAGTGCCCGAATTTGAAATTAAAAAAGCCGTCATGGATTCGAAAACCTTCAAATACAGTGTAAGATAAAATCAAGTCGATCTATTTTATTGCTTTTCTTTTTTTGACTACAAGGGTTTTATTTGGTTTACTTGTTTCTTATTTTCTCGTCACTGCCGGTGTCATTTATGATATCATCGTAGAACCACCAAGTGTTGGTCAGTAGAATAAACAAAGATTTATTTTTCATTTTTGAATTATTTTCATTTCTTCAGGTAGTACAACGGATGAATATGGTCATCATAAACCAGTGGCTTTCATGGCATGGCGTATTAATGGCCAATATATTATGGAAGGGCTTGCTGCTTCATTTATGTTTACGTTAGGTGGTCTTGGATTTATTTTACTTGATCAAACCAATAAACCGAATATGCCACGTCTTAATCGGGTATTGATGATTATTTGTTCATTTATCTTTATTCTTGTTGCATATTGTGCTACTAAAATTTTTATTCGGTAAGTTAAAATTAAAATAGAAGGTAACATAGTCTTACTCATTTTTTCTCACATTTTAGCATCAAGATGCCAAGTTATTTAACTTGAACATATTAACAAGTTCAATTAATAGTTTTCATTTTCATTTGTCATCTTTGGGAACTTTTTTTTATTTATACGTAGCATTGTTTTTCTTGGTCATTGATTATTGTTTTTGTTTACTTTCTCTTCACTGTTATTGTTATCACTCAAAATACAGTTTTGATTTTTTGGAGAAAAAAAGAAAGCCAAATAATAAAAAAATGATTTCAAAGATTCACTTTAAAAAAATAGATTTTTATATTTGCTTTAAATAATTATCGGTTCTCGTGCTACATTATGTTTTTGGTAGAAATCTACTTCATTGTTTGTTTTTTTCATTTTCAATCTTACATAATTCTATTCGAAATGTGTATAATAGTGCATCTTTATGAAACAAATTGATTTAAAAATAGTCAGTTGATACTGTGAACGTTTACAAACAATATACGAAAAATATCAAGAGGTCAATCAGAAACATCATAAAGAGTAGATACATTGCAAGCATATGAATTAGAATCAGCTGGCCTGAAACTTTTATATCCTAGAAGGTGAATACAATTCAATGTAACTTGAAAGTAAAAAGACATAGTAATGTGATATTGCATACAAAATTAACATGAAATAAGGTTTCGACAAGATTTATAAAAGTTAATAAAATCATCCCAATAGAGCAAATGCACGACAATTTCGTACATGATCGTGATATAATGTGCTTCGATTGTTCCACTGTTAAAAGTAATCAGTTTATTGGGACCAATGTGGTTGATATTCATTCAAAAGCAACGTAAAAAAAAGAATCCAGGTGGTAGAGATGCGAATTCTGTTCTAGCATCATGAGTAAAAAATACGCGGTGAATACGACTAGCTTTTAAATCATTCACTAGATTCCATCTAATCATGATTCAACTATTCTAACAACAGTAATTTATTTAGATATAAAAATTAGAGTTAATGTTATCATTCAAATCAACATGCATTTTATACAAAAAATAAAATACACTACTAACAAATTAGAAGGCGTATGTTGACTTACAAATTGGACCTGTTGCATATAGTGAATAATTTATAGGCTGCTCAATCTATTGATAGGATTAGTATGATTAAATAGCACGAACGATATTTTACAGCAATCAAGACAATGTATGTCGCAAGTTTCAGATACTCTTTTTTCTAAAGAAATTAATTTACTGAAGAGAAGATTCATTTTCAATAATGTTAAGATTTCAGAAGATTTTTTCAAGGATAATTGAAGCCGAAACAAACCGAAGAGAAAAGTGTCAAACATGATGACTAATATAATTGAGTTCTTTTTCTGAATATTTTAAGAGATCGAAGAAAATCTATTTCAATTTTATGATATCTTCTCGTATAAATATCAGCTAAGACTAAAATTCAAGTTCTTCACTAAAACTATAATATGCTCCTGTATGAAATAGATTCTTGAAATTTCATGTTTCTACTGAAACACCGTTCTAGAGTGTTAATGCAAAGATTTCTTTAAAAACCTAGAAAAGTTGTTATATGAATAGATTTTCACTAAATTCAACTCTATCGAATATATATTGCCAAGGGATGGCGTGTTATTCATATTTAATAGCTAACAGTCTTCGTTGTCATAATTTTAGTAGCTAACATTAACATTCATAAGTCATACAGAGGTTACAGCGGTCTGGTATGCAAAATTAGGAATCGGGACAGGAATTCAAAAGAAAAAAATCAGAATTAGTGAATATTCATCATAAATATTGGACTTTTACGTATCTTTCCGTCAAGGAAAACGCATCTAACTAAAGACTTTTGTTTTCAGTTCTTTTGTCTATCTTTGTTGCTCATTTCTCATACTAAGTTATGCAGTAATAGGGAGAATAACAATGATATTTTATCTTTCAAGATTTAGTGCTAAGAAACGCTATTAAAAAACTTTTCTTATGAAAGCTGATTTTTCTGTGCTGCCATTGTTCTCTGTTCTGTAAAGGGGTTATTCACTCCTGGAATGCTAAATAGTCAATGCATTTCTAGTTGTATCATTAAGTTACTTATTTTAAGTATGTGCACTTGTTTCATTGTTCATACACACAGTAGCCTTTTCTGACGCTATGTGATTGATGCTTTGATCATTGCCCGAGTGGCTCATTTGATATTTTGACTATGATTCATTTCGTTATAAAGATTTGACAACTAGCATAGACATGCGGAAAAGGATGCGACATTCAATAAACAATGGCGCCGGCAAGTAGAGCTTGCCGGGGTGGCCCCGAACCAAGTGGGGTCTAGGTTCAACCTTTCCGATTTGAACATTTTTTTGACACTATCAAAGTACGAATTCACCAGGTCAGATTTCAAAGAGGCTTTATGAACCTGATTCAGGTCCGGTTCAGGCTCAGTAAGGCACGTCATTCTTTTTGCATTTGATAATTACTATTTTCACATAATCAATGTCAAACGATACTCATTTCTCGCCAAAGTGGCTATAAAAGTTGATTCAACATGGAGAACCGTGTTCCCGTTGGCCGAAGGTTGGAAAGGACAAATGCACTTTCATCTGTATTGTTCGTAATACTAACAAACTCAACTGTCGTAATGCGGATTGGGGTGATCTGAAGAAACACTTTGAGCGTCCCACAAATAAATTGAATTTTAGTTATGCATAATAAATAAATGAAATTTGTGAAATTCTTTTTCATTTATCAGTTAAAAAGCAGTCACGATTGGTTTGAAAAGAAGATAGATGGCCTGTTGCGGAGAAAGAAGTTGCGTGTTGATTATTTTCAGTAATTCATTACAGTCATCGGATGCTAGTTCAAAAAATCAGGAAAACTAAGGGAAATCAGGACCAATCAGGATGTTCTCAAAAAAATCAGGAAAGTAGTGTTGCTGCGATCCCTGGTCATATGATAACGTTGAATGCAGTCTATAGGTCCTGAAGCTGTTCATGATATTGAAATGACTACTGCAGTTATATAAACTCTGATCCTATTTCAATTAAGGCAATGAATGACTACTAAACGTTCAAAAAAATGATTGAATTTGATTCTATCAAAAGATAATTTGAGAAAAATATATTTTTCTCATCTTGTCAATAAATATCCGTGATTGAAAACTGTGTGTTGAGATATTATTGTCAAAGAATCTCGATGATTCTTCATAATGACCTCTATGTTTTTCTTTAGTTATATCAGTGTTAACTAGAATTGTAAAGTTTGTAGTTTAATAAATAAATATTGTTTTATGCTCAATTATCATGTTTTTATTCTTTTTTATTTAAAAAAAATTGAGCATAAATAATCAACGGAAAAATCTCTTCTTTTTCTTATTTTCTTGTATCGCTTTGATAAGTATAAATACAGCAACTAATATTTATATGATACCAATACGATTAGCAACGTCAAGTGCATCATGATCAGCTTTGAGTCTGACATAAGCCTTTTTTTCACCATCCGGTCGAATCAATGTATTGACTTTTTCAGCATCAACATCATACATTTTTTTGACAGCTTGTTTAATCAATGGTTTGTTAGCACGAATATTGACAATAAATACTAATGTATTATTATCTTCGATTTTTTTCATCGCCGATTCAGTTGTTAATGGATATTTAATAACAGCAAAATGATCAAGACGATTTCGTTTTGGTACTGATCGTCGAGGATACTTAGGCTGTCGTTTTAAACGTAATGTAAATGGGCGACGAAATGTTGGTTTAGTATGAATTTTACGTTTACGTGTCAATTGATTACCACTAAAAAGAAATAGATAATGATGTTTTTCTAAGAGATCCCTAAGCTTTGTCTACTTACCGAACAACTCGTTGTTTGGCTTTCAATGCTTTTGTTTGAACCTTTTCCTTACGGTCTTTTGAAACCACTTTAGTACCATCTTTACCAGATCCCGATGTATCACTAGTTGATTTTACAGGTTTTTTTACACTGGCAGTTGCTGCTGTTGTTGAAGGAGCAGTTGTGTCTTTCTTCTTTGCTGAAGTTGAAGTCTCCTTTGTATCTTTTTTAGGAGCCATATGAAGCTGAGATCTGAAAAAACTTCAAATAAAATCTTTATATTTCTATTGTATTCTGTATAGAAAATGAAAACGACAATTTCATGTTGTTTATCGGTCTCTCTTAATCTTATTTTGATTGGACTAATATTTGGTCGAATTCGAGATTAAAATCCTCACTATTTCATGCGAAAAATGTCTTAAATAATATTATTTTTATAATTGAATATTTTTCTAAAGAATATTTTTCGTAGTAAGTATTGCATATATCCTAGATGTCTCCACTGATCAGAATGAAGTGCTATTCTTCTAATAGAAGGGAGATGTGTAAGAAACATCTGGATATTCTGAAAATATAGTTATGTTATTTTAAACTTTATTTAGAAAAATTGAGTGTATTATTTATGTATTCTTGAAATATTCAAGCAGGTTCGCTCTAGATCCTGCTAACTAACGTAGAATATTTCGTTGAAAATTAAGGCCAAACCATCACACGATGGATATAATCTACAATTGACATTTATTACAAAAGCATATATTTATCAATAATAGAATTAGATCACTCTTAAAAGAAAAATCCAAAATAGATCTCATGTCTAGTACTTATTTGGTTTTTGAAATGTCTCATGTGATTGAACTAGAACATTGTAGAATTGCTTATCGGTTTGAAACTGTGCATTTATTATGTCTCATCAAACAATAAAAAAAAAACTTGTATACTTTTATATTTATTAGGTGTTAAAAAATTTTGGTTTCCTTAAGCCTTTTTCGATAAAACCAAAATGCTAGATACAGACCATATGCAGATATTTTACATGATTAAACTAATGTTTCATTTCAGTTGCATTTATCACAGTTTATTTGATGAGTAATACGATCGGTATTGTTAACTGATAGCTTCCTCGATTCAAATAGATCATTGGTACTATTTAGAGAATAATATTCAATATCGTTGCAGTGCTAGGTTTTGAAATTGTTATATTATTTTTATTGATCGCCCTCTTTCCTTTTTTAGTATTAGTTTCTATAACAACCAATCAAAATCGTAACTTCTCTCTCCGTGTGTAATCAAATGATGATTGAAAAAATAAATTTCATGACCACGAATACAAAACGGTTAAAATTAAAGAAAGAATTTCCAGTATCATTACATCAATTCTTCTGTCATGTTTTTTCAAGATCGTCTTTTTCTGTTTGTAGATTATTGTTGTGTGTTCTGTTTCCGAAATACAAAAACAAAAGTCCCTAGACTAGAGAGGAGACTACGCAGTTATTTGTATATATATATATTTTGTCATTCGCACATATAAAACGATCAATGTAAGAAGAACATTTGCTAATTTTTAAAATTGTATCTTTTTTACAGATCCATTTATCAGTTCTCAAAAATGTCTGGTATCAAGCGCACACGACCAGATGATATTCCGTCGGTACAATCTCAAACAAAATCCGATACAGCTTCGCCGAAAATTGAAGCATCAGCAGTTTTCGTTAGTAGTATCGAAGAAGAATATAATTGGTAATTACAATAAAAAAAAGCCTCTTGAATATATATGTATATATATGATGATTTTCTTTTCTTTTTTGTTATCTATCAGCCCAATATGCTTTGAATTAATCAGCGAAGCATATGTTTCTCGATGTGGACATAGTTTCTGGTAAGATTCACATAATTGGACATGAAATTGATCAATATATTTCTTTGATTTGCAGTAGTAAATGCCTTCAACGAACAGTTGAATCTCATCGTCGATGCCCCAAGTGTCAATTAAGTCTTCAACCATCAGATATTTTTCCTAATTATACATGTAAGCAAATCAATCAAATTGAGTTGCTAGTTTTTTTAGATGATAACTTCATGCCAATGAGTCGAGTGATTATATGAATACACAATTGACAGAGAATATTTTTTTTGCAAATATCATGAATACGATTCATGCGTGTTATTAATCAATATAAGGATAAACTTTTAGTTTTTGATTTATTTAATAGCAGATAGTAAAATTATTGATTATCTCTGGTCGAACAACTATTTCTAAAATTAGTTTAAAGTTCTTTACTTTTTCTAAGTATGAATAAGTTTAAAACTTTAACTATATAAAACGTTTTTATTTATTAGAAAACATTTAGCATAGAATACACAATTAATAAAAATATTGTGTAGTTGCTGTCACTAATGAAGTGCGACATGATATAATTGATAGCAACAGTCATCTGATGTTTCTTTTTTATCAGTCAAACCATATTGAATTTCAATACTCATTTTGATTCATTTTATGTTCATCAAAAAGACTTGAATTTCTTTGAAAATAATTCTAATAGAATTTATTTGCATTATCGTTCATAGTAAATGCAATAATTGAAAAATATCGTCAACAACGTCCGTTACCTCAAACATTTGCTAAATATGGTGTAAGTAAATATTCTTTTAATAAGGATTCTTCCATGAATTGTTGTTTTCTAGAGTATTGTTGATCATATTTCCGATTTGGTAACTAATGTCCATACACTAAATGCTCAAGATCTCGATCTACTGATTTCTGTTTTTCGTCAACATAAAGAAAAGCTTGATTCGGTTCGTTTTATTATTGCTTGTTTAGAATGAATTTTTTTCTTTTCAATAGAATAATGAATATATTCATAATCGTTTACTTGAAATATTTCTAACTCATGTTCATCATGAACGAAGTGGAGTAAGAATGATAATTGTTTGTTTTTGCTTATTTTATGTGTTTTAAATTGTTTATTTAACTAAAAGGCAATTGAATCATTATCAAAAGAATTAAATATTGTTGATGAAGATTTAAAACAAATGAACAAACGACAAAAGTGTTCATCCTCCTCCTCCTCCTCCTCCTCATCATCAAATACAAATATCAATATCACAACAGATTCAAATTTCAAACAGACTGCAGATGATAATGTGTTAGTATCATCCAAATCAACGAATAATATTAAAGAAGATTCCTCAGCGTCATCGTTGTCATCATCATCATCATCATCATCTATTGATACTACAACTGTTAATGATACTGTACCAAATTGGATACAATCTGGAGGACAAGTTAGATAAATACAAATAAAAACGAATAGATTTTTCTATTTTATTTAAAGGATCTTCGAGCAACTCCGGACACGAAAACAGATAAACGAGAAGCCGTACCCGAAAGTATAGCAACAATAACAACTGCTGCAAGAACTGTATCAACTGGTGCTATTGTAAATTTTAATTATTGCTTAATATTAATCTAAAGATATTTGTTAAGGTTCCCGAGGAAACAAATCAATATGATGATATTGAAAATCGAACAAAAATAATGATGCGTTTTATGGATGATTTAACAAATATTTATTTTTCAACAAGAAATTCATTGAGATTGACTGTTGACAATGGTTGTTTTAAATTGTTTTTTGTTTATGAATTATTTCATTGATTTTCACTTTTTGTGTATTTTTGTTTAATAGATGGATTATGCAATGGTGATAGTGGCTTAGGTACATTTCGTGATAGTCTTGCAGCTGTAACAAAATATTCTCGTTGTAAACCTATTGCTACCGTTAATTTTGTCGGAGAAAATTTTGCTCAAGCTAGTATTGTCTCAAGGTTCAGTGATTTTGATCAATTCAAATTCATTCACTATTTGTTTTTTTCATTAGCATTGAATTTGATCGTGATTATGAACATTTTGCTGTTGCTGGCGTTTCCAAGAAAATTAAAGTAAACATTTTAGAGAAAAACCATTTTGAAAAAAGATAATTTCTTTTTCTTCTCTCTGTTTAAAGCTATACGAATATCAATCTGTATTAGATAATTCTGTTGAATTACATTATCCAACAAAAGAAGTTGCATGTACAGCAAAATTAAGTTGTATTAGTTGGAATCCATACTTGAGAAATTATTTGGCATCAAGTGATTATGATGGATTTGTTACAATTTGGGATATGGCTACAGCACAAAAAGTTCGAACGTTTCAAGTAAAGTTTTTTTAAAATTTATCTTCTATTAAAATTAGACCATACTTATTTATAGGAACATGAAAAACGCTCATGGAGTGTTGACTTTTGTTCATCGGATCCTAAATTACTTGCTTCTTGTTCTGATGATTGTCGAGGTGAATTAAATCTTTGTTTTTCTTTTTATAATATTATTACATTACACTTTAGTCAAAATTTGGTCAATGCATAATGACTATTCCGTGACAACTATTGATGCTAAATCAAACGTTTGTTGCGTTAAATTTAAACCAGATTCTCAATATAATATTGTTTTTGGCACAGCTGATCATAATTTATATTATTTTGATTTACGTAATACACGTGAACCTTGTAATTTACTTAAAGGACATAAAAAAGCTGTATCATATGCTCGATTTTTATCGAATAATGAAATTGTTTCGGCATCAACAGATAGTCAACTTCGATTATGGCGCGTTACCGAAGGACAATGTTTAAGAACATATCGTGGACATGTAAATGAAAAAAATTTTGTTGGCTTAGCAGTTTCATCGGGTTACATCGTGTGTGGTATGTTGGCTAGCGATTTTTGGTTCTTGTTTTTTGTATTTAATAGAAAGTGATTGTTTTACTTGTTTCTTTTTCAAGGTAGTGAAGCAAATACAGTACATTTGTATCAACGTGAAATTTCTCGACCTTTACTTAGCTATAAATTTGATGATCAAAATAATAATGGAACAGTTAAAACAGTAACAAATACAACGGTAAAAATGAAGAGTTTCTATAAAGAGTTTTTATTTTTCTTGATTGTATTTCGATTAGGAACGAGTTAAAAAAGAAGAAAGTGGATCGGAATTTGTTAGTGCTATGTGTTGGAGTAATGTAAGAGATTTATTCGCTTATGAATGTTTAAATTATACAATATGTGTGTTTTGTTTTTATTTAGCGTGAAAATATTTTACTGGCAGCAAATAGTCAAGGAATTGTTAAAGTATTGGAATTGGTTTAAATCTTCTGTTGATCGCACGAAAACCGTTCTTTATTTTTTCCGGATTCAAATTCTTTTCAGATTTTTTCTTTTTCTGTTGACTTGATTGTCGTATTATGTGCGCATGTGAGATCGTGCCAGATGATTATTCTTTCATTTTAGTTATTCATCCCTAAAACATCAACTTATTAGTTAATTACTTGCGGAAAACTATCTGTAAATATTACTAAAATACAATGAGATGCTACGACACAAATAAATAAATCCTATTAAAATTCATAGCAAACATTTTCTGAATTGTTGAATTAATTCAGAATTTCACTAAACTAACTTGTAGAGTAGAAAGATATCAAAATGAAAAATTTGATAACGAACATTAGAAAGTTATGATTTTTTCAAAGATTTATCCAGAAATCCGACGATATCTTTCTTTTAGTGTTTTAAAATCTTTTTCTTCAGTGAAAAATTCATGTATTACATTATTAAAGTTACTTTTCTCTACAAAACACCTAGTCATCTCATACTTGGCTGCCAACAGTATTGATTTCAATCATGCAAATTAATGTTAAACATTCTTGTTTTCCTAGGTTAACACTACTAAAAACCTAGTCTGCCATAGAATATCATGTTTGAAGAAGCAATAACTATTTTCATGAGAAAAGGTCATTGAACTTTTATTCGAAGAAATGATAAATAGCCGATTATTGAAAAATTCATATAAAATAAATAGACAATAGTTCAATTAATAGTGACAATCTATGAAATTTCGAAAAGGTGATTTTATAAGACGATTGAAATGTATTGTATACCATAATAATATATAGTTAGAGATTATTAAGAGAAGTTTCGAAAAGGAAAATTTCAATCGCTCTTTAAAATGTAAAGAAATCAATAACAATAGTTGTCAACTAAAATTGATTTAGTGTTAGAAACGGATATAGTACTTTACAGTAATATTCAAATATTGGATCACTTGGAACTATTGATCATAATCGTGTTGCATAAGAAAATGGATATTTATTCGAGACTGTTATTTTTATTGATGTATTGATGACATCACAAAAATTAGATTACTTACAAATCGTTGTTGATTGTTAATGTAAAGGAAATATTTCAATATTTAAAGAAAAAAAAGACACTGACTTTTGCTTATGCAAAATAATAAAATCATGTCTACTGGGAGGTAATCAACATATATTTGCAGAAGTATAAATTATCTTAGACTACTATTTTTATTTAACAATAATCCGCCAAATTATCCTCAATTGAATGAATAATTGTAATGCATATAATATTGTAAATAAAATGATTCAACATGTTTTATTACTAATAATTAATTGATTTAATACTAGATAATTGACAGATGGAAACGGTGAATATTTTCCTACATGCAATTATGTTTTTTATTGTTAAATTTCAAGATTCGCTTTTCAGCACCACAAGAAAATAGTGAATAGTTGAATTGTGTGTGCAAAGTTCATCGAACTCAGATCACAAAGAGTAGCCGAAAAACTACTTTGAGCCACCTATGATAAATAACATTCAATTTATCTATTAAATAGATTACGCACTGATCTCCCTTCAATTACGTAAATAAGTAAGAAATTAATTTTGTTAAGTAAGGCATACTTCGGTACTTCAGCAGTACGCTTTTCCTCCTTCAGTGTAGTGCATGCAATAGGTTGATATCGATAATTATGTAATAGTGCATTAATAAAAACACCATTATCTTTTGGGTTGTTTTCTTTGCATTGGAAAAAAATGACAGCAGTTGATCAGTCCAAGGCGGAACTACAAAAAGAAAATTCCAAATAAAAATAGATCAATTCGTAAATAATAACGGGATGATATTCTGTTACATCATTGTTCTGATGACGAAAGTCACCAGAAAGATTCTAGTAGTTCTGAAGTTTTCTCTGCAACTTTTTATTGACTACTACGAAAGACATTGATCTAGTTTACTTTGGCTTTTTGTATTAAATGACTTGTACACTAAATAAACAGTTGTTCTTTTCTTATCTCATCTTGCTCGATGTGGTAACTGTTACTCTATTGGCTAGTAATCCTGATAAACACAAAAGAACAAATCAGTTCACATATCTGTAAAAACTCTCCGATAACGTGATTCAACTTGTCTTTTTCGGGTGTGAGAGGATGCATGCGTACATTTGTTTTTGCTCTTTAATACCTGTTATCAAATACAAGCTCACAGTACGAGTACTTCACAACTTATCATTTGTTATGTGTATTATGAGAAATAGAATGAGAGAGAAGAACATGTTCAACGCACTAGAGATTATTCTTTGTATTGATTCGATGAAAAACTATTGATAAATGCTTTTTTACCGATCGACTTGTGATTATCGGTGTGGTGCATAACCATTTTTTCATTTTGTCTATTGAACTTTGAATCAATATTACTTATTTTAATATTTGAGTTTATAAAAAGGAAAATCACAAATGAAATTATCATTTTAAGTAATAAAATTATTTAAATACATACGAAATCTAGTCTCGATTTCATTCGGTTCAATGTACTTCCGATTAATTTCATAAGGTTTTTATATCGGTAACAACGAATAATAACTAATATTGAAATTATAGTAGAAACAAGTAAAATTCTCGTTAGTTGGAGATATTTTATTTTCTTTCTTTGAAAAATAGTGAGTGAATAATCTGTATCACTTATAATTAAATTAAGTAAGAAACAATGAATTCAACTGCATTTTGGTTTTTCATTCTTATGATTGCACTTACTCTAATGAATTGATGATACCACAAATACTATGTTCTATAGCTTTTCAAGATTATTTTGCAAAAAACACACCATACGATCATGAATCAGATATCGAGTTGTTATCGATCTGAAATAAGTGTTATGCATAATTGAATATCTTTTTAATTTGATAATAATAATAATAATAATATGCTTTCATTACGAAACAAGTCATATCAATCTTTTCTCTGTCTTAATTGTTGTTTATTTTTAAGATAACAGATAAACGGATGTTTTTATAACTATAGCGTACCCATGATTAGTAATCATGATGTATTCATATTTCTTGGTTTGCTGATAACATACTTCTATTTGCAGGCAATCTGTTTCTCTAAATCATTCATTTTCTTTCACTCGTTCATTGATCGAGAGAAAATGGTGTTATCAGCTGAGGTTGTCTAAATAAACTATCTATTTTGATTTGCTGATCTCACCAACCTCATTGATAGTATCTAAAGAAATTAAACGATACTATGACCCTCAGCAACAAACAGGTTGTATCCATTAATCATCTGCTCATTGCTTTTTCAAACAACATCGAGATCATTGTAAAAATAATGATTGTTTCGATAGTTTTTGTTTCATACAATGAAATCTTCTTTCTTTTCAACATATCGAATTAGCTTTCATTGCTCTGTTAAATTATTAGTTATTAAACTTACTTTTGTGAGACAAACAATCTCGAAGTTTTTTCCACATGAATAATAAATATATTATGGCGATCATAAGTAATATATTGGCACTTCTGTCACCCTGTGCTTATATATGATGACATTCAAGGCTATACGATGCTTGTGTTTATGAATATAGTAGTACTTCTCAGTTAATTTTCATTCTATGCTCGTGTCAATTCATTTACTTGTTCCATTAAATATTATCATGATACAGACAGATACTGGAGACGAAACAGAAGACAAGAGAAGATTGCGATATTTTCCATATAATGGAATTATGACGTAACTCGACGAGAAAAAAAACTGTAAATATACAATAGTTTAGATTTCAAAATGAATAGTCCTTTTGAAAATTTCGCTGGCAACTCAATGAAGTAATTCTTCATCATGTGACAGAGAGGCATCAACGAAAATATTGTAATGAAATAGAAATCTTCTTCACATAAATGTTTTATTGAAACGTATGCTATTTTGTTTTGATACGACAATGAATAAAAATATTTGTATGATTTTTTTCATCTACTGTCGTAAGAATTTCAATGGATTTATTGACGAATGCATGCGAGCGATTTTGTGTTACTCAAGCACGATGTAATATTGAAATAACTTGTTTAGTAGTTAAATGTTAACTTGCTGGTGGATTGATTAAGAGTAAACATCAGAACTTCAAATGTGATGAGACAATTTTTTCTTCCCAACTCGTCCCATCATATAGTGTGCTAGGCATGACATTCTTTCAATACCCTTTTTGGCTATTGTAAGTATCTTGTTTTATCATCTTGATGTCCCTCCAATTATTGTTGCAACCTTTAGTCGATTTCGTATTGAATTATTTTAAGAGTAAAGAAATTCTGATTGCTTTTTCTCAGAATACAGTGGTAGAGTCAGGATACCGATTTCAGCTGCTATGACTTTCTTTTGAGAAAAATACCAAAAATACATATCAAAGCGATGAGAGATGAAATCAATTTAAAACAAATTAGAAAAATGAAGACCAGGTACAATATGTGATTTAAAATATTGAATTTCTATGACTAAAAAATAATGAATTCATTAAGAGTTCCTTTGATTTATAAAACTGTAACAGAATTGAGAACTTTCTATTGCTCTGAATATGTTTTTCTAGAGTATATATGTAGTTTTATGAATGAATGATGTTCTTTTTTCAGTGTATTTTCTATTCATGAGTTCTGAACTTGTGCGTCTAAAAAATCTAAGATTCATTGAACAGCTTTTCATAAGCTGATGTAGTCCGACACTTTTCTTACGACTTTTGTGAATTCAAAATTTTGTTTTTACACGAAACAAGGTTCAAAATAATCACACAAACTTTCGAGTATATTCAATAATATTCTCTGAATGAAGCTGAGATTATATTATGTTAAAAATGAATATAAACTGAGAATAGTAGATTCTTTACGAATAGCAAATTTTATCTAGACAGTCCATATTTATAGAGAAAGATTATTGGAAATTTCGAAAGATCGTAAAGTACAGTTTCATGTAAAGCCACTAAGAAGTTCTGTTTCAAGTTTGGTAAATTGTGTATCAACTTTTAGCGGAGAATACGACCAGAACGAAAGCAACGTTAGATTTTAATGACGAAAAATATAGTCGATGAGAGCATAGGGAATCCTGCTATTTGTCGTATCTACTGATTTATTGTAATCTGTGTTCTATTGAATTAAATCTACAATTTTTTATGAGAAAAAGAACAAAACTGAAAATGTCATGAGACGAAAACTTTGTCCCATCCTATGATATAGAACTTTGATCAATGAAAATATCGTCACATCCCAATGGGAGCTTTTGATCACAGTCAAAACGATTTGTAAAAAATTAAAGCTAAACCGCCGATTTAACCTAAGCCGGTTGTCTTGATTATAATAATACGTTTATTTTTTGCTGAGTATTTTTTATATGGATATGAAAAAATATCATTAAATATCAAATAACGATGAACGAAGAACAGACGACTGGCACTGAAAAGCACTTGTGCATACTCAAAAGTATCAGATCAATGCAATTGAAATGTATATGTATAGAAGAAAAAAAATATTAATAGCCAAGAAAAGACAGAAAAAAAAGTAGAAATAGTGATTCTAATGTTCTAAATTGATTCTGTAACGCATTAGCTAGCAACAATTTAAGCTTTCATTCATGGGAAATTTTCAGCAGTTCTGAATTCAAGGTGTTCCTTTTGAAATATGATTCAGATTTCAAATATATCATCTTATGTAGATCAATGCAATCATTTGCCCAATAACGTTCAACCGATCCAAAGATGACAACATCAGGTCGGTACTGTAAAACAAAATCTTTATCCAATTGAGTTTTAGGAGTTCTGCCATCACCACTAAATTTTACATGATTGAAATGTCGCCAAAAATGATCTTTGAACAAAAAGTTCGAATAAGCATCCCCAAAAATCAGTATTTTGTCTTTTTGCGAGTTCATCCTGTTGTAAGTATCATTTTATTTGGGAATAATTTGATATTCTAAAATATTAGACATATCTAAATTACCATTTTAGCTAGGTCTCCTACTAGCTTGAACTTTCGGTCTGGAACAAAGTCTTCCAAGCGATAAGATACGAACTGAGGGTAGAAGGCAAGTAGCTGTTTCATGATCCCCTCATACGCAGGAAACGCTCCAATATTGTTCCAATGAGAATCCGTTTTAAATTATGTGTCCAATTGATGTAATTTCTTTACAGGTACCAGTGTTTGTCGTACATCAACTAATTGGACTTTTGAATGTAGTTTCATATATTCGAAAATCTGTGCCTGCCTATTTGGTCCAACAACAATATCGTATGTTCATGGTAAATATTCTGAATCGATCGAATTTTTGTCAGGAGACGGAAGAATAAGAAAAATAATATTTTGTCAAGTAAGCTCCATGTTTTCAGCTTCTAAACTCGTTTAAATAGATAATAATTCATTAATTGAATACAATGAATACCCTTGTCAACCACTAAGTGACTTCGGGTTCGTTCGTTCATAATCAGTAATGAATAACCAACCATTCTTACCAATAATGACGTTTTTAATGCCTGATATTCCAAACAAATTGACATGTAATCGAGTGTTTGCAGCCAGAAGTCGAAGGCGAAATTCAAAATGATCATTACAGAATAAGTCAAAATTCGGCTAGGGCTAATGTTGACTTTTCTATCGGTTCAATATTAGAAACAATAAAAAGGTTCTCTGCTTATTTCAGGAAGCATGATAAATCATAGAAATAAAATAATGATCACCCAATCCTATCAAATTCGTTTTCGTTGAAATTGAAAGATTGAATCCATAATATTGAAACGCTTAGATTCGTGTCTCTGCCAAAATTTAAAACAAATGAAAGGATTATAGAGCCCGCTTTTGTGATAGTCATAATAGAAAATAGAAGAAGACTGAGAAATGCGACTATCGAGAAGAAGTTTCGAAGTAGTTGTGCAAATATTCGAATATATTTGTTTAAAAAACGATTGGGCGTATCTTGCGGCATGCGAACTAATGTTGAAAGAATACCAGACGATCCCAATATATCCTAGTAGCACTCTAGTAAATCCAATCAAATGGTTCACAGTTGGCGATCGGAAAAATATCCATCCCAATGATATTACAGTTAGCGTATACAAATGTTGGAAACTCTGGTATTTTTTTCTGTAGCGTATATGTGAATATTGTAGTGCGTTCTAATACTAAGAATGCTTCATGAAATAGTCCCCAAATGATGAAATTCCAACTAGCACCATGCCAAAAACCACCACGTAAAAAGACAGTTAAAAGATTTAAATAGATATGACTTTCTGAGACGCGATTGCCACCAAGTGAAATATATAAGTAATTGCGAAACCAATTTGAAAATGAAATATACCAACGTCTTCGGAATTCTCGAATTGAACGAGACACATACGGATAATTGAACTTTTCAAGAAATTGAATGCCAAACATATGAGCAAGATCAATAGCCATATCGGAATACCCTGAGAAATCGAAATAAATTTGTAGCGTATACGTCAACAAGTCAAGCCATGCATGAGAAGCGTCAAGTTTGCCAAGTGGCAAATTAAAGATGATGTCTACTACGGCACCAACTGTATTCGCTACCAGCATCGTTTCTGAAAGACCAATTGTGAATTTCACTATGCCTTGTACAAATTCTTTGCGGTTGAATTAAACTCACGACTAACGATAAGTTGATCTGCAACATCATGATAACGTACAATAGGACCAGCTATTAATTGCGGAAAAAATGAAAACTATAATGCAACTGCCATTAGATTCCACTCTGCTTGAACTTCTTTTCGGTACACATCAATGATATAAGAGAAGCCGTGGAAAGTAAAAAATGAGATACACAATGGTAAATGTACTACAGGAGCCTTTGTGATTAGTTTCACAATTTGCAAGATGATTATATTTAATCTTTCAAGTAGAAAATCAGTATGCTTAAAATAGATCAGTATGATTAAATTACTCATAACTGAAACAAGAAGCCAACGGGCTTTTGATTCACCAACCGTAACCCGTAAATGAACCATTGCAAGTACACTCGAACAGTTTATACATATTGATATCAACATGACAATGTTGTATGATCTTTCATCCCAGAAATAAAAAAAAATGAACTGGCTAAGCACAACCAAGCATTCTGAAATTTTGGTTTAATCACGAAATTTATGCATAGGACGGCATGTAAAAATAAGAAGTGGAACACGGGTGATGTAAACAGCATTGTAACACAGAAGCTTCAGCAGGTAGTACATGTCTGCGTATACGATGCAGCCTTGTTTAAATTTAACAGGATATACTATTCATGTGTTAAAGATAAATCTATCAGAATTACTATATGCATGAAGTAAATATATAGACTACTTCTGCTTTTCCTTTCCGTTAAATATTGGAGCTGAAAATAACATGTTTTTTTCCTTTCTGTAGCTAACAGAGACTAATACTATTCGACGACTCCTCCAAGATGTTTCTTTTCACTACAGTCTTTGAAATGGAAAACAAGAAAATTAACTCTAGATCACATCAAAAACGACAAGTATACTATATGTTGAATAGTCTCTCTATCATCATATTTTTATCGGCAAAAATACGAATTAACGAAGTATTTATTTAAAAAAAAGTCGTTGATATAATTATTTTCTAACATAAGAACATCACAAAAAGCTTCTATTACTTCTTCATTGTGAAAAATAAAAGATATTTTACTCGTTTAACGAATGTGGTTTTCTGTTCCTATGCAGACTAGGTAGTTAAAAAAATTTATTTATTCTTGAGTACGACTAGCCATTGTCTCAGTCTCATGTACATACCTATGTTGACTTGTTGGAAAACGAATATATCGATGAAGTGATCGTATTGCTGTAAAACATGCTGCTAACAGCATATTTTTATAGAGAAAAACCTCGGCAGATACTTTACAGTTAATTTACATTCAGAAATGATGATTAAACCGATGTTTCGCGATGATTCAGTCACGAAACTTACATGCTACTAATCGTTACCATCTCAACGTCCGTGTCAAAGTTTTTTCTAAAAAAAAGTATTATTAATCTTCAGTAGCTGACAGATTGCTACGTGTTGTATAACTTCATACGAATTCGTATTTGAAAACTACATTATAGTAGGTAAACGGTCTGAAGTATTTAAACCTAACATTTACGACATAATTAGAACTATTGCTTCCCTACAAAAAATGAATAATCTATTGAAAAAACAAGTCCAATGGTTTAATCTATACACAAATAAGGCAAATTATTGTATGTAACATACAGACATGTAGTTCTTATGATTTTCAATTTTCTTCATATATGCAGAAATTAGTTGAAAGTAAATAGTGTGACAACATGATTATAGGCTGCCTTTTAGAAAAAAAATGATTTTTTTTTGGTATTACTTCGATCTATCTTGTCTTGCTCTTAACATGATTGATACTTCAGTGTCTACATGTTCTGTAATCAGAAATATGTTCAAACTACTCTAATACGCTGTGTGCTTGGTTGAAAATATTTTCTTATTAAAATTTCAAGATTTGAAATAAGCCTGTGATTTTCAAAACTTTGAAAGGCATGAGTTCAACGTACAAGTTTGTTGGTACTGTTTTAAAATATTTGCCTAACGAATGCATAGACTAAACTGTCAGGTGTCTTTCTTCACTAAAAAATATTGTTTTTTTAAATTTTTTTTGTAACGGATAACAACCTGTAATTATGACATAAACTGCAGTGTACTATTACTTCAAAATATCATCGGGTATATAGAAATAAAATGAAAGTGAGCAAGAAAGTCGATATTTACTCTTCTTCGCATGCTCATAATTGTTCTTATCCCAGAGAGAAGCTAAAAACTATTCGAACTTTCATCAGGACGATAAAATTTAATTAGAAAATATATATCACAACGATCACTCTGACCTTCGGAAACTTTGTCGCAAGTGGAATATAGAAGTATCAATTTTCACTCAATTTTCCTCGAATTTGTCCACTTTTTAGTTTTCATTTTTTTCACTACAATATCGGTATCGTTTTGAACACTATGGTTTCCGTTTTATATCTTTAAAGACCATTTAGAGCACTCTTTCCTTAGATCTGAGTAATCGTCAGTTTTTGTTTTGTTATCCAACGAGGAGAGTAGGCGCAAGTGACAGTTCTTAATTCATACTTTACTATTATACATGTATCAGTTTTAATCGTTGTTTACAAAATATGTTTATTATCTTTTTAGTTATTAGTTTTCTTTTTACTCCCTCCTAATACTTACAAGTGCATGGTAGATGTATGTTAGTATATCTGCTTTCGTTTTAATAGTGAGCTACAAAATGAATACTAGTTGATGTATAGACAACTGAAAATGACAATATTCTATAGTAATGCTAAGAATGAATTCATGCCATTTAAACAAGAAAAATGATCTGCTCTCTTGCAAAGCTGAAAATTAAATTTCAATTAATTTTTAACCACAATTTGTGTTATATCGCTGATTTGTGAAGTATACAGTACACCTAGATAAATATGATCGATTGATCAATAATATTAAAAACTCGATATTGGCATTAATTTATTAGTTATTAATGCAGATAAACTCTTCTATTGTACGCGAATTGATTCAAGAGGTGAAGTAGGAGTTCTTTCATATTTTGGATATCTCAAGCACTTTTTTGCTTGTTAATTATATTAATGAAATGAACTTTTTTTGTAAAATTTTTAGTTAGCAACGTATCCGAAATCGTATATTAAAAACGGTGACTGGTTCCGCACGTTTGTTACTGTGACGATGACGTTCAAGAAGAATCTATTGCAAATATCATTGTTATAGATCAGTACAACTGTTATTAGTAAATAATGAAATTCTATTAATGTTTGACATCATGTGTGAACAGTAGCATTTTGTTTTTGCAAGTTTCAACCGTTGTTCGACATTCCCTCAAAAGAAACCTCTTTGACACGCGCCAATACAAATCAATATTCAACATTTTTTCTCAATTCAAAGTTACTGACGGGCGTATCATGTTTAATTTTTTTTTATTCAACGAAACTGAGAGGCAGCGTCATAGAAATAGGATCAAGTGCAAAATATTCCATTAAATAAGGAAAAAAACGAAGCTCAATTCGAAATAAATGTTTTTGTTCGATCGTATTTAATTGAACAAAAGATAGTAACGTTCTCAGTTTCTATTGAGATCTACATGTCTGAACGCCATGATGTGCACCTTCATCATCTGAATCTCCACCATCATATGCTTCGCGTCGTTGACCATGTTTACTATCGTGTGCAGATTTAGTTGTATGAAAATCAATCATAGATACTTCTTCGACATGTTCACCTTGCGGAATATCGACATGCGGTCGTTTCGGTAAAATTGATTCAAGTTGCTAAAAATGAAGATTAAACATTAAAACAAGAAAACAATAGAAAATTTTTAAAATTACTTTTAATTGTGTCTCAGTAAGCGATTTTTCTGATGGAAACTCGACATCAAATTGTATAATTAGATCACCAGTATCATGCGTTCTCATATTTATCATACCTTGCCCTTTCACACATCGATAAGTGTCTAAAAACAAATTAAATCATATTTCTCTCCCAAATATATTTTGATTTACAAAACCCTACCCGGTGCAATCGGATCGTTTGGTGGATGTTGAATAACAACTCGTCTTCCATCTAAGTGTGTGACAACTAGTTGAAATCCACATAATGATTCAAGTAATTTTATTTTGTGTTTCATAATAAGATTATCTCCACTACGTTCAAATAGTTCATGTGGTTCTTGTTGTAAGACAATAATGACATCGCCAGGTTCCGTATTTGGTGCTTGATCACTCTCACCTGGAAAACGAAGTTGTTGTTCATGTTTGCTACCTAAATTAAATTTTGAATTGTGAAATAAATTTTTGATTTCTTTTTGATTTTATTTTACCAGGTGATATGACAATTTCAAGTTTTTTCTTTTCATCAACTGTTTTTTTTCCATTACATGTTTTACAACGATCACGTTCGTTGATAATTTCTCCTTCTCCATTACATTCTTTGCAAACTTGTTGCATTCTTTGAATCATACCGGGACCTATTTGTCGTGTTATAAACTGAACACCTTGACCGCGGCAGGTTGAACATGATTGTTTAGCACCTTCGCGTCCACCATTACTAAAAGAATAATTTAGTGATAAATACATTTGACTTATTTTCTTTTTAGTCCTAAATCTTACCCATTACAAGTTTTACAAATAACTTTACGAGATATTTCGAGTGTGCGTGTTTCACCTTTGTATAATTGTTCAAGAGTGACTCTATTTCATTCATTAACATTTAAAAAATATTCAATACAAAAATAAAGTATTATTTACTTGAGTGGATGAGCTACATCATCACCTTTTCGTCGTCGATTACGAGCTCTGCCACCACCCATTTGGCCACCAAAAAGGCCACCGAATCCGCCAAAACCTTCAAATGGATCATTTTGACCAAAAAATTGTCCAAGAATATCAGCCATGCTGCCTAAATAATTGAAAAAAATCATATATTTATTGGATTTTAGTAGGTGATTATCATTTATAGAAAAATGGAACACATCAATGATGCTCGAGATTCATCTTTGGTACATTGTCATATATAAATGTAAACGAAAAAAACTTTCCATCAATAATATGGCGGGAAAGTCATCGCTTTTTTATTCAAGCGTTTAATTATAAAATTTTCGAACAGGTTTCTCAAAAAAATATTCGCTTCACTGCAAAAGAGAAAAACTTTTGACATGAGTGACAATGCTAATATTAAAATAAATAGTTCTAATTTTTTTATAACTTATCATAAAACTGTAGGAATACTGAACAAATTATCTATTGTAATTAAAATTTGTTCTATGCCTACTTCCATTAGCTATAAAATTCATTTAAATCAATACTTCCGTTTGGTCATGTGTCAATACTAACCTCCACCACCACCGCCGCCACCACCTTCTTTTAGTCCTTCAAGACCATACATACTAGAAAAATAAAATACAATTAACGGTCCCAAATAAAAAGAGAAAGAGAACACTTACTCATAAATTTGTCTTTTACTTTCATCAGTTAAAACTTGATAAGCAAATGAAATTTCCTTAAATTTTTCAGCTGATTCCGGATTTTTATCTGGGTGATGAGTTTTAGCAAGTTTATGATATGCCTATTAAAAATAAACTATTATGATTAGTTTTCTTGTTTCATTTTTATTCGTGAACCTTTTTTATTTCTTGATCGCTTGCACCACGTGTAACACCAAGAATATCATACAGTTTACTGTCAGGCATGATAAATTATTATGAAGATCTACAAAATGAATCAAACAAATCATGTTTCGGTCTTATCTGTAAATAAAAATTTCAGAAGAGACGACTCCTTCAATAACTTAATAGGAGCATATTTTACTTTAACAAATTTCAAAATGATTATGAAAATGAGTCAATAAGAATACGAATGATGCAAGCAAACTATTGGCGGCACAGAAAATAGAGAAAAAAAAAGGAAGAACACGTAATGTGTTTAGACGACATAAATTTCATAGGTTATGGATGTTAGGAAGAAAACATATGGGAACATGGTACAATATGGATAATAAAATAAAACAAAATTTGATAGAAAATTTTCTTTTTAGATAACTTATTTTCAGAAAATCTCAATTAGTTGATTTTGAAATACACTTGACATATATGTGTCGCTGTGAGGAGGTCAAAGTGAAAATCCAATGAAATATATTCTACCCATAACAACTGATCTATTGGTTGCTACGAGTGATACCTTCATACTTACAGATTAATTCTATAGGTGTTTCAGCGTACACTAAACGAAGTCATTACAAGTATTAAGCCAATGTGAACATCGTACAACGTTGCTTTCTTTAATTAGGTTCGAGCAATCTTATGAAAAAAGATTGTTCCCTACTAAACACTTAAATGAAAAATTGCTCTATTGATTATTCTAGTTTCCGAATTCTTTACTTGAATAAATTCTATTTTTGTTCACTTCATTAATGTAATAGTATGCTCGCACAATTCAGATGTAGAAATTCAGTAGATTTACCATTAAAAAGCGAAAATTTCTGTTTTAAAATAGTTAGATAGACAAAGTTCTTATTGAAAATTAGAGTGGTACTGAGCAATAGTATCTTGAAATAAAATGCCAGTTCAATTTCAACAAGTGCTTTTTACAGTGGCGAACCCAAAGAGAAGATTATGTGGACCGGGGGGGGGGGGGGGGGGGGGGGGGGGGGGGGGGGGGGGGGGGGGGGGGGGGGGGGGGGGGGGGGGGGGGGGGGGGGGGGGGGGGGGGGGGGGGGGGGGGG